ATATATAACGTATGTATGTATGTATGTATGTATGTATGTATGTATGTTATATACAAGGTACCCTGTTTTCCGCAAAATAAGACATCCCCTGATAATAAACCCAATCAGGCTTTTGAGCGCATGGCAATAAGGCCAAGCGCTTATTTCAGGGTTCAAAAAAATATAAGACAGGGTCTTATTTTCGGGGAAACACGGTATATATCAGACAATCTTGTAAGTCGTTTCTGAGTACATTGTTCCCAAACAGCTTTAATTTCTTCTACAGTTAAGTAGTATTGCTTTGTTCTATTAATGGGTCACTTTTCTTTAATTATACTTTATTCCGTCTGGTTCCTTCTAGTCCATCTTCAGAGTCCCCTCTTAATGATCTCTTTATTTTCTAACCAGGAAAAGAAATACAGGAGTATTTGTTAATTTTAAAGTCTTCGTGTAGTTTTTGTAAAAAAATGAAATACCCCTGAGAAAATATTCAAGTCCACCTAGTCCCTTAACTTTCCACATTCTAGTCCTCCTTTGCCCTTTTACAAAAATTAAATCTTTTCTTTTTAATCCTTAGATTTACAAAGAGCTACTTTCATCCTGGGTAGAAGGAGATTCCCCCAACACAATAAAACGTGTTCTTCAGAACATAAAATAAATAGGATTGGAAGGGACCTTGGAGGTCTTCTGGTCCATCCCCCTGCCCATGGCAGGAGAGCCTATACCTGTGATGGCGAACCTATGGCACGTGTGCCACAGGTGGCACGCAGAGCCATACCTTCCAGCACGTGAGCCGTTGCCCTAGCTCAACTCCAATGCGCATGTGTGCGCCGGCCAGGTGGTTTTCGGCTGGCCCCGCCCACGCCTCCCCTCCCAGGACCATGTGGCCCGTTTCTGTGGCCCGTTTTGGATATCAGGTAAGTACAGGGCTCGTGTGGAGGCTCTGGGAGGGCATTTTCGGCCTCCGGGGGAGGTGGGGAAGCCGTTTTCGTCCTCCCCAGCCTCCAGGAAAGCTTCTGGAAGCTGGGGAGGGCAAAAAGTGGGCGTTCTGGGCCCACTGGAAGTCGGGAAACGGGCCATTTCCAGCCTCCAAAGGGGTGGGGGAGGCCGTTTTTGCCCTCTGGAGGCTACAGGTAGGCCTGCTAGGCCCAAAACGGGGTGCGAGGGGGCGCATGCACAGGGGGGGGCAGGGTGCAGGGGGCATTGAATTATGGGTGTGGGCATGCACGTGCACGACCCACCCACCCCGCTTTGGCACGCAATGACAAAAAGGTTAGCTATCACTAGCCTATACCATTCTGGACAAATGGCTGACCAGTCTGTTCTTGAAAACCTCCAGCAATGGAGCTCCCACAACTTCTGGAAGCAAGCTGTTCACTGATAAACTGTCTCTGTCAGGAAATTTCCTCTTAGTTTTAGATTGGATCTCTCTTTGATAAGCTTCCACCCATTACTCAATTGTTCATCCTATGGTTTATCATATGGAAGGTTCTTAACTTCTAGAAATCAGTAACGAACAACATCCTAAATTAATTAAGGAAGGAAGTGGGTGAATCCAGTATCTGAAGGCTCTGGACTGGCCTAGGCAAGATGTTTCTCTCCCCTGCTCCGAGAATCAAAGATAGCTATTTTACAATCACTTTGCAAGGAGATTCTGCATGGAGCAAATTCTGGTGTCTGATCTCTTTGATTTGGAGGGTAGTTCTGAGGTGGTTCAATCAGTTTATAAAACGAAATGCCTTAGTAATTTGGCATAATCCATTGTATACGTAATTTATAGACATATTCAAGCTGGGAAACAAATATACGCATGTTTGTCCCACAAAAATATATAGGAATCTGTTAAGAGTAGTAGGCAATTAACAGGATGGGATATGAATCACAGTATAATTACTGTCTTGGACAATTTGTTCCAGTTTTCTATTTACCTTTCTGTAGAATCAAAGTGTCCTGTGTTTTCTATAATACATATTATAGCAGCCTGTCATTGACTGATTTGTACAAGATTTGTCAGTTTTTGTTTTTTAAAAAAATCTGTTTAACATAAGCATCATCCGACTCCCAGTTCACTTTGGATGGCTCAGTTTGGACAAAGAGAGGTCCCAGATTCAATGAACTCTTTTCTTCTATCTCATTTTTACCACAGCATTGGATGTGTGTTGGATAGGGGTATCACAGCGGAATACATGTAATTACTGTACTTAACAGCTGCCGTACTCTTGTTGTTCAGTCAGCATCATAGCATGCTTTTCAGTTGTTTGGAGAAAGCACATACATAATTCAAAATTCTGGTCTGTTGGGATTTGCTTCCCTGTTTGTTCAAAGTGAATTAAGTGCTCACTAACTGAATAATTACTGTTGAAAAAAAGCGCACGTAAGTTTAACTACTACTTTTCTTTTTTCCCCTGTAGGAATCTTGGCATCCAGTGTTGTCCTGATTCTGTCACAACGATCGCTTTTCAAGTTTTATATGATCAGCTGTGCTTTCCTGCTAGCTGCAACGTCAGTGTTGGTGAACTATTACGCTTTTTTGCACATAAACTTCCACAGTGCCTATTACACAACACCTTTTGGAGTTCAGCTCCTTCCTCATAAAGGACCTTCCTTATGGATGGCACTCTCTGTCCTTCAGCTTGCCTTTGGGATTGGTTATGTTGCTCTCTTAAATATCGACTCCATATATTCTCAGCTCATCATCTTGGATTTATTGCTTCCCATCGTAGGCTTGATCTTCGATTTACCTTTACACTTCAGACAGATTTTAGTCTTTGCATCAGGTTCCATTTTGACGTTACACAGCTTGGTTATTTTATTTACTAAAATGAAATGGGTCTACTACTCCGCAAGGTACGTCTATCTTCTCATAAGGCATATGTATCGCATTTACGGATTACAGTTGTTGCTGGAAGACACATGGAAAAGGATTCGCTTTCCAGACGTGCTGCGGATTTTTTGGCTATCGAGACTGGCGATTCAAGCTGCCGTGCTGCTGTATGTTATTAAAGCAACCGAAACGGACCCGAGCATGAAATTCTACATGATTTCTTGGGATAATTTCTGGGAATTACTCTGCAGCCTTATCATCAGTGGATGCGATTCCACGCTAACCGTATTAGGCATGAGTGCTGTAATTTCATCTGTGGCTCATTATCTGGGGCTGGGTATTTTGGCCTTTATTGGGTCCACAGATGAAGATGATAGGAGGCTTGGTTTTGTGGCACCGGTCTTGTTTTTTATTTTAGCCCTCCAGACTGGCTTAAGTGGGCTAAAGCCAGAGGAAAGACTGGTCCGCTTAAGTCGAAACATGTGCCTTTTACTCACGGCAGTCCTGCATTTTATCCACGGGATGACCGACCCTGTGCTCATGTCTCTGAGTGCCTCCCACGTCTCCTCGCTTCGCAGACACTTCCCCGTGCTTTTTGTCTCCGCTTGCCTCTTCCTCCTTCCAATTTTGCTTAGCTACGTCCTCTGGCATCACTATGCACTAAATACATGGCTGTTTGCCGTGACAGCCTTCTGTGTGGAACTCTGCCTCAAGGTCATTGTCTCTATCACTGTGTATGTACTGTTCATGATTGACGGCTACTATAATGTTTTATGGGAAAAGCTGGACGATTATGTCTACTATGTTAGATCATCAGGCAATATCATTGAATTTATATTTGGAGTAATAATGTTCGGCAACGGTGCTTACACCATGGTCTTTGAATCAGGAAGCAAAATCCGGGCATGTATGATGTGCCTGCATGCCTATTTCAACATTTACCTGCAAGCGAAGAATGGCTGGAAAACGTTCATAAATCGTAGGACGGCTGTGAAGAAAATCAACTCCCTTCCGGAGGTCAAAGGGGAGCGATTGCAGGACATAGACGATGTGTGCGCCATCTGCTATCATGAATTTACCACGTCCGCCCGCATTACTCCATGTAACCATTACTTCCATGCGCTTTGCCTTCGGAAATGGCTCTACATCCAGGAGACGTGTCCAATGTGTCATCAAAGAGTTGACATTGACGAGAAGGAGAACCCCAATCTCTCCAATAACAACGCCTTCGTGGCCCCCGATGAAAATGACCCCGATGAAAATCCCGCCCGGGGAGGAGGAGGAGGAGAAGGAGAAGCTGCTGCTGAAGACGAACTCAACGACGAGAGCACGGAGAGCGAAGAAGAGACAGAGAGCTCAACTCAGTCCAGTGCCACAGTACCTGAACAGCCCTCTGAACACCAATCCTGACCCTGTGCTCGAGTTAAAATGGCAGATCCCCGAACCCTGCGGGTGTTTGTGGAGTTCAGCATTGGAATAAAAGCTTCACTTCGTCAACTAAGCACAAGAACGCCATGTCCAAAATTGTTGAATCTGTGAATGAGTTGTCATTTTACTGTGATGTGCTACTGTAAATATGGCTGGTATTAATGCTGGTCTCTTTTGCGACCACTTTAAAACTTTATGTACATTATTGTACATGGAATAAAATGTTTTCACCTATTTTTTTAAGACGTCGAACAAAACACTCCTTAATTAATATAAAATTACGGTGTGGGTACATTATAGCCAAAACCCCTCACGTTTTGATAGTTTAAAAGCCAGGGGCTTTTAAGATAAGAATGGAATGCCATATAAAGAGGGACATTTCAATCTCTCTTCATTTCAATCCTGGACAAAAGTTAAAAATGTTCTATTTAAAATCATAACACATCATTTCTAGCTTGACAGCTAAAAATGAAAGTTTAGGTTTCCTTGAAAGATACCGTTCCTTCTAGTATTTATTTATAGAAGAAAACACAACCTTGGGAAATGAAGGAAATACATTTATTTATGGAACTCTGTTATAACTTTTTTAAGCAGAAATCTGGTTATTGTGTGGTTACACAATAAAATTATCTGAATTACCGGGAAAGAAAAATATTTCTAAAATGCCAGAAAATTCACAATAAAGGCGAGGATTTCCAGACACGTATTTTTAACTATACCATCCTGTATGGGAAACATACTTTTAAATAATGATTCCAGAATTAGGGAGTAGACTTAGATTATTTTATTTTATGAACAGAATTAACTGGATTTACATATCTGGAAAGAAAGTTTTAATAGTGTTGTTATACATAATATTGGCCAGTTCTAATGGCTCCTCTTCACGAACTGTTGCTAGTATTTCCAGTATCTGGCTACAATGAAACAAACAGAAATGTTATAGAAAAAAGAATAATTTATAGAAGATCATGACAACTTTTGATAAAATTGCATGAAAGATATGTAAGCCATATTTGTGATTTTTTTAAAAAAAAAAACAGTTTTGGAGTTGCATTAACTAAATACCACACTAAATGATGATCTTAACGAAACAGCAATGAATCTACCCTAACTTGTATGCTTCTCGGTCTCCTTGTGATTGGGAAAAGGCTGGAAGTTTTGGTTATGACTGACCAGTTTTTATCACGGAAGCCTGGAATGGTGGTTTAAAAGCATGTTTTATCAAGCCGTTTGAAGCAATTAAGGTTAGCCTGAATTTGTGGGATTGATACAATAGCAGATTAATACTTCTCAGTGCCATCTTGTTGGCCACTGTTAAATTGCAAAAATAGATAGTCTCTAGATACGCTCCAACAAAATAAATCTCAGGTTGTTATGCTGCACTGAAGAAATGGAAGTTCAGAAATACGTTTTATAAAGTATTATATTCTTTCGCTGCGACCTACATAAGAGTTAGACGCCAGCACGTCCCATTTAAAGCTTTGTAATTTGAGCCTGTCATGGCTAACTCATTAGATCAGCTTCAAGGGGACTAATCTCTCCTGGATTGAAACTCTTGACAGGAGCAGCAAACAGTACTTACATTATATGGCAAAGTTCATTTCTGTCTTTTAGGCAGTGTCCCGCTTCCCATTTCTTTTTGGTTGGAAATGTGGTTTTTACAAATTTTGAGCCTGCGTGGGTGTTTTTCACTCCACACCAAGGAGCATCTAATCAGAGAATAATTAAAAAAAAAAAAAAGAGTGGTAGCTTTATAACTCTTTTCAGGAACTTGAACACTTGTGTCTTTCATTCCTGCTTGTCTCATTTCCTCCTTATACGTACAGTATATATCTCTCACGTGGCACTTTGGGAATAAATTAAAAATTCTCATTTGATTTCTTAAAAATTGTGATAGGCAGTAAATACAGGTGGTCCTAGATTTACGACCACTATTGAGCCTTAAATTTCTGTTGATAAGTGAGACATTTGTTAAGTGAGTGTTGCCACATTTTATGACCTTTCCTGCCAGTTAATTGAAACGCTGCAGTTTTTACATTCCTAGCACGGTTGTTAAGTGAATCTGGCTTCCCCATTGATTTCGCTTGTCAGAAGGTCGCAAAAGGTGATCACGTGACCCAGGATATTGCAACCGTTTGAATGGTCATTAAATGAATAGTTGTAAATTGAGGATTACCTGTATACAAATGGCTTTTACTAGTATCTGCAAGTTCAGACTGAATATAAAACAGCAACATCAATACAATTATTCCAAAAACACTGCACTCCTCCATAGGTTGGCATATTCAAACCCTGATTTAATGAACCATTTGGAGGGAAAAGATGTCTGTGAAATTCTCAACTTGGTGACATCCAAATGAAAATGTGCCTATTTTAGCTAAAGCCCATTAAACTAAGGTTCTACTGTATCTGATTTTGGTAACTGAAGAGATTGTTTGAAATACTGTGTTAACAAGCTTCCGCTGAAACTTGTCTGAATCTTATTACCCAGCCCTTTTGGAACAGTCTTTAATTACAATTTGCTGTCAATATAATATGAAATAAATACTAAGGCACTCTATTTGGTAAAGCTTGCTCCACCAACATATTCATTTAAAATGTATTACATAAACAGATTCTGAAAGGAAAAAAAGATTACCGAACACAAAGTTTGATATATTTTTCTGCTCTTACCTAGCTTACAGCCATATGTAAGAAGGCCTGTACATAGCTAGTTGGTTGATGGAAAGATCCCACCAGATCATGAAGCTATAAAGCCGTGATGGCGCACTGGTTAGAGTGCTGTACTGCAGGCTACTTCTGCTGACTGCCAGCTGCCTGCAATTTGGCAGTTCAAATCTCACCAGGCTCAAGGTTGACTCAGCTTTCCATGCTTCTGAGGTCGGTAAAATGAGGATCCAGATTGTTGGGGGCAATATGCTGACTCTGTAAACCACTTAGAGAGGGCTGTAAAGCACTGTGAAGTGGTATATACGTGTAAATGCTATCACTATTAAACCTTTGTTTCATCTACTTTGGAGAAAGTGAGTAGCACATAAGGGTAGCCGTGTTCTACCAGTATCATGCTCTTCCTCAAAAGCCACCTTCATAGATTGCTGTCAAAACAAGCACAGTGCAAAGTTTGCCCTTATGTATTTGCATCACAAATCGGATGCAACAACTTACACATAGGTTGTGTTTGCATGATGAGACAGGTTTTGCCACTTGCCTCCCCCAAAATGGTACTTTCCAGATACCTTGGCAATGCAAGTCTCAACTTCAGTCTTGTTTAGGATTATGACAGTTATGGGCCTAATAGACACACAAAGGGTATCAGGCTGGATTTTGCGGATAATAGAAAGGTATAATCCAATATTTGACAAGGATCTGGCAAAATGCTTGGGAGCAGAACAATTTGGAGTTCCTTCTCTGCATCATGCTGTTTTTGAGGCTGGTTCAATAGTTTTCTGGAAGTGTTGTCTGGAGCACATTTTTATTTACAAGACTTGCTTCCAGAAACCCACCGAACTGTCCCCAGAATGGCATGATTCAGAACAGGAATGGAAAATTCCAGGTTTCTTTGGAATATTTTGTTCCTGAATCTATCAAAGGACTGACAATTTTTTTAAAAGGGCATTTCCCCTTTTCATCAATGAATTAGGTGTCCAGATAATCATGCTAAGCTAACCCGAAGGTGCTTTTCCAAAAGGCAACTAGACTTTCTTGGGGGGGGTTTTTAAACGTTTCACTTCTTATTCAAGAAACTTTTCCCATTCTTACCCAAGAAGCTTCTTGAACGAGAAGTGAAATGTTTTCAAAGAAAAAACCCACTTGACTTTTGGAAAAGCATCTTTGAGACAACCATAACCTGGGGGATTTAGAGTCTCCATAGAGATACCAAGCTAACCTTGCATCTGACCTGTGATTTGGATGCACCATCTCAAGATTGCAACCCAAATATATCTCTGATCTAAAAGAGTTTTGAAAATGGTAAAAAGTAGTGAGAGCAAAGTGACTTACCTGTCTCTATCATTAACCTTTCGCTGGGAATTGACTTCACCGTTTCTAGGTTGGCTTCGGTTTTCAGAGAGCTGGAAAATAATTTTAGAAGTTTGTTAGATGAAATTGTCTCTCGCTTGCTATTGTTGGGGAGTTCATAAAAAAAAAAGAAACTGCTCCCCAAATTCAATGAATTTTTGTTTTTTGAACCGGTATTGAGCATACTCCAATATTGTGCTTCTAATCCCATTGACATTAGACTGATTTTTTCCCCCCAATTAAAAACTAGGAGAGCAACAATGCATGAAATTTAAGTTGAATTCAAGTTGAATTCTTCTACATCTCTGGATATACAGAAGCTCTAGGGGCTTCTAAAGCTAAATGTCACATAGTTTTATATCCTGTTCACTCTCTTCTCTAGTATATCTGACTGAGATTTAGATTATTGTATATTATTGACTTTTAATTATTTTTCTTAGTTATGAGGGTAACATAATTGCAGTACTTTAGAAAGTTAATGTGGCCCATCAAACACGGTACAGACAGCATCTTTTGTTCTTGTTTCCTGCTTCAAGCTTCAAAAAATAAGGTCTTTCTATTTTTCATATCCCTGGCAAGACAAACTACATCCGGGTGAGCAACTCTGGCAACTTTACGACCTGAGGACTTCAACTCCCAGAATTCCTGAGCCAGCTAGCTCAGGAATTCTGGGAGTTGTAGTCCACAGGTTGTAAAGTTGTCCATCTCTGCACTACGTGGTTAATGATCTATCTTAATTTTTTTTTTAAAAAGCCACAAATACCTACCAAACTAAAAATGAATGCTTGAGGGAAGAGAGTTAATGTTTAAAATAACTTACCAACCATTAATCCCTATATAAAGATCCAGATCTATTAGAGCTGCCGCTTCTTCTTTGGTGCCATCAAAAGAGTGAACCTATAAAAATAATTACAAGCCTATATATCATAAGACGGAAGGTAAATGTTTGTTAATGTGGGCAGTCCTCAACGTATGACCATGATGGAGTCTGCCCATCACAATCATTGCGAAAGTCATAAAGCGGGTCACCCTGTAACCTGGTCAGATCTTAATTACATTTTTTTTTGTGGGAGGGGTTAAGTAAACCCATTGTTTACTTAAAACCCAGAAACGCTGATCACATGACATGGGGTTGCTGAGCACCCGAAATGCAGTCATGTGACTTCAGGGAGGAGGGATGGCCACTGGAACTTCAGATCGTAAGTATTCCTGAGGAAGTCTGTCATAACTTTTAATGTCTCTAAGGGAGTGAGTCATAATCTGAGGACTACCTTTACTCAGTCATACAGTTCCCTTTAATTATTTTTGTTGATGTTTCTGGATGTCATCCAGCAGCTGTGCATGCATGAAAAATGTGAGAAAAAATTAGCAATTCTGCCTAGGAAGGTGACGTGGCTGTTCCCTTTTTCACAGCTGTGTCATTCTTTGTGCTACCCTACCAGATGCAGGTACCCTAGTCTATCCGAGTTCAACTTCTAAACATGGCTAGCAAGGCCTAAGGTTGACCAATTCATGAAAGGACACTGCCAAATTTAAAATAAATAAGATTCAGGGTTAGGGTTAAGGTTCACAGAAATCCCAATTCATAACAAAAAGAAAAACTTGGCTTGATGCTAGATCCAAACTGCTATTCCTTCCACTAGAGTTTTAGAAGGCAAGGTTTGGGCAAAGAATGCAGACACGGAGAGAAATCTAACCTATTTGTAATGCAAATATAGCAATAGACTTTAAATCACCAAAAAAGTGTAATGCTGAAAAACATTATAGCTGCATTGCACCTACCACTCCTCCGGTACATCTCTCTCTATTTCGTCTCATTATATCTGTGGAAAAGAAGAATTTGATTTTAGAATCTTAAAGAGCGTTTGTTCCCTCAAAAGTACACATTTGTTCTTCTAATTTTCTAACAAAACTCACCTAGGAATTCTGGGTGCGAATTCCTACAGTGCAAAAACATTGGCAATTTGGCTTGCTCAGATAGCTCAAACTGTTTTTCAAAATACCTGAAAGAAAATAAAAATTGTATTTACCAGTCACTGAATCCATAGTGTTTATATAGCTGCTCAATTCTTACAATATGATTCTGGATGACAAGCCAATAAATCAGGTAAAAAAAAAAAAAAGATTTCAGGAACAAAGTAATAATTGGCTTCAAACCATTTTAGAGAGCCAGCAATTGGGAATCACACTTATTACTCTCTTCCAGACAGGAGTTCTAATAGTCCTGATCCAAATGCCGAAGAAAACAGCTGAATTACCTCTGAACTGTGAAAGGGCCTTAGCTGTGCCATGACTAACGCAGGTCTCCAAAACAGCAGAGGTGTGCAGAAAATCCAGTTCTCTTTTGTGATCTTCCATCAAAGAGGCAAATATTTTAAAAGTTTACATATATTTGTAAACCAAGACATTCTACATCTTGCTAACCTGATACAGGTAGTCCTCAATTTACAATCTTTCGTTTAGCCAACCAAGTTACAACAGAACTGAAAAAAAGTGACCATCGGTTCTTGCACTTACAAGCATCACAGGTGATGGGAGACAGCTGGGAAGGTTGCAAATGGGGATTACATGAAGCCCAAAGATGTTACAACCATTGCAAATTATATGCTGGTTGCCAGGTGTCCAAATTTTGATCATGTGACCACACAGTCTGATTTATTTTAACGACCGCAGGGCTTCGCTTAACAACCGCGGCAAAAAGATATAATAAAAATTCTTGTTAAAATTGTAGTTCTTAAGTCAAAGACTTCCTGCAATCTCAGGACCAAAAAGGGATGTTGAACATCCTCTTATTGTGAGCATCCAGAGGTGTCTGATTTTGCCAAATGCTAGGTAAGGCATCCAGCAAGACAACCCATGTTAATGAAGTTTAGTAAAAATGTTCTTTTGTTACACCTTACAATAATTTAGAATAACAGAGTTGGAAGGGATCTCGGAGTTCTAGTCCAACCCCCTGCTTAGGCAGGTAACTATACCACTTCAGACAAATGGTTATCCAATCTCTTCTTAAAAACTTCCAGTGTTGGAGGATTCACAACTTCTGGAGGCAAGTTGTTCCACTGATTAATTGTTCTAATTCTCAGGAAATTTCTCCTTAGTTCTAGGTTTCTTCTCTCCTTGATTAGTTTCCATCCATTGCTTCTCGTCCTGCCTTCAGGCGTTTTGGAGAATAGCTTGACTCCCTCTTCTTTGTGGCAGCCCCTGAGATATTGGAAGACTGCTATCATGTCTCCCCTAGTCCTCCTTTTCATTAAACAAGGCATACCCAGTTCCTGCAACCGTTCTTCATATGTTTTAGCCTCCAGTCCCCATATCATCTTTGATGCTCTTCTCTGCATTCTTTCTAGAGTCTCCACATCCTTTTTACATTGTGGCGACCAAAACTGAATGCAGTATTCCAAGTGTGGCCTTACCAAGGCATTATAAAGTGTTATTAACACTTTACTTCATGTGATTTTATGTTACTTTTTTTGTTCCTAAAAACTGTCCCCCCACCCCCTCCATTTCATTTAACTTTTCTTGGCTGACTAATTCCTGAGCAAAGATAACCCACTTCACTTAGTAGCGTTTTACTCTGTGGCAACAGCTTCCAGGGAGGGACAACGCACAAAGACATATACAAAAACGGCAATCTGCCCTATGGTGTGGACATTTTCCCCTTTGGGGAGAAGAGGGAGAATTGCCCTCTGGGCTTTCGCATCCCACATGTAGATGTAGCTTGAAGCCTGGTTTCCTCATCCTAGCCATCCAATTTTACGACTGTTTCCGCTCTTATCAGAATGAGCAGAACCACAAAATCCAAAATGAAAATCTTGGCAGCCCTTACGCTGTCGAGACGGATAATGGGATTTGGAAACAGAGAATCTCTCTTATGACTCTCAGTCTGAGGATAAGTAGAGGAGGGTTGACCTGCTCTTTGTTTTTCCTTCAGCTTAAAATAGGCTGGAGATGTTTTAAGGCTTTTAATGGACATTCCTGAAAAAAATCCCTATAGAACTGTGATGGTGAACCTATGGCACGTGTGCCACAGGTGGCACGCCAAGCCTTCTCTGCTGCCACATGCGCTGTTGCCCCAGGTCAGATGTCCATGGTGTTTCTTTCGTGAGCTTCTGTTTCCCTGCAAACGACTCTTCTACCCCAGCTCTGGATTCCCAAGAATTGTGACACACACCAATGGTCCTTACCAAAGTTATAACGTACCAAGAATAAACAAAGTCCAGCAAAGGTTGGCAACCAGCCCAGAAAACAAAATACGATAAGACACTCACTCTTCAAAAATGCTCTGTAATAATTACATGTTATTTACAAGTACAATTACATTCCAGCAAGAAATTACTAACTGTGTGCGACTTAAATAGGCTAAGGCAGTGGCCAATTATCCTCAAACCTTACTCTCGAGGAGACCTCCTCCTCCTGAGTAGCCACTCCCGCCTTTTGGCAGCCCCGCGTGCTCAAGCATTGAGAAGAGGTTCCTCCACTTCGCTTTCTCCACTTGAAGGAGCCTCTGGAGGTTCTGAAGGCCCTGGCTGAGTCTCTGCCTCTGGCACCATATCCTCTTCAGCCTCCTCGCTGTCCGACGAGAGTGCCGGCTGCGCAGGCTGCTGGTGCGACCCCACACCAGCCTCCTCCTCATCGGGATCAGCCAGATCTGCGCAGGCCGCTGGCGAGCCACAACAATGACGAAACAGAAGCTCACAAAAGAAAAAGATCTTACCTCTTGCCGCTCTGTCGGCGTTGGGATGCCCCGCCTCCCGCCGGCCAGCTGGTCTTTGGGTCTCTGCTGTGCATGCATGCATGTCCGCATGCATGCGCACGTTCATGCATGCACTTTTGCGCGCACGCACACATTTCAGTTTGGGCGTGTGCGCAGTTTGGGTGCTTGGTGCCTAAAAGGTTTGCCATCACTGCTATAGAACAGTACACAACACGGAGGTTAAGAAGACAGGGTGGCCAGTACAATGTTATTTGAAACAATAAATAAATTTCTTACTTGAGTTGGATGTCTTTGGGGCAGAATTCTAATCTGTCGAAGTCTGGAAAGGGGAAAACACAGTGAAGAGGCCTTCTAAAGACTGCCATGAACAAACAATGCACTTACGTCAGGGAGTTAATACCTACCCAGGCCACACTCCCCAATTGCGACCACCTTCCCTTTGTTCTTCTCAGCTAAATCTTGCAATTCCTCTAAGTACTGGTCGGGATTACCCTGATCGAATGCTCCACAGCGAGTGGGATGGCAGCCAACGGTACTGTAAAACATTTCTGAAATCAGACCATATGAAAGAGTTGATATAACTGATGCAGACTATTAATTAATAAAGATAAAGGGAAAATAATCACCTGCTGTCCGTATACACAGATAGTCCTCGACTTACGACCATAATTTCTGTCTCTAAGCGAGAGTTTTGCTATGTGAGTTTTGCTCCCTTTGAAGACTTTCCTTGCCACAGTTGTAAAGTGAATCACTGCAGTTGTTAAATTAACATGGCTGTTAAGTGAATCTGGCTTCTCTGTTGACTGCTTGTCTGAAGGTTGCAAAATGTGATCACGTGACCCCAGGACATTGCAACCGTCAGGAAGCAATTTTCAAGCATCAAAATTAAATCACGTGACCATGGAGATGCTGCTGTGGTGGTAGGTGTGAAAAAAAGGTCATGTCACTTTTTTCAGTGCTGTCGTTAACTCTGAATGGTCACTAAACGAACTACTGTAACTCAAGGACTACCTGTATTCTCTTGCATCGTGGATGTTGCTTTATGTTTTTTGCTAGTGCATTGTACTAGCAAAAGAGGTTACGATTCCCTGCCTGCAAGGATTTGTAGAAACAAAAGCGTAGGAATTGCAACCAATTCATTCTTCTGCATTAAAGCCAGTTAAAGAAACTTTTCCTCTCTAGGTAGATGCCTGAAGTGACCATTTTCAGCTACCTCTCAAGCTTTTCCTGGAGATCCTCCTCACATACAAACAAGCATGTTACACAAATACATACATGTACAGGCAGTCGTCGGCGTACGACCAAATTTAAGCCCAGGATTTATGCTGCTAATTGAGAAATTTTTTAAGTGAGTTTTGCTCCATTGTACAACTTTTCTTGCCACATTTGCTAAGTGGAATCACTGCGGTTGTTAAATTGGTAACACGGTTGTTAAGTGATATCTGGCTTCCCCATTGACTTGTCAGAAGGTCGCAAAAGGGGATCGATCACATGACTCCAAGACACTGCAACTGTCGTAAGTACATGCCAGTTGCCAAGCGTCCAAATCTTGATCGTGGGAATGTAAGTGTGAAAAATGTCATAGATCACTTTTTTCATTGTCGTTTTAACTTTGAACTGTCACTATATGAATGGTTTTTAAGTCGAGAACTACCTGTACTCGCCATCTCCCGATTTCTCTCCTCCCATGTCAAGCCCTTGCTTTCATTATGTGACTACTGGATCCTTCACATATTCTTTTCTCAGTCAGGGTTAGATAAGCAACTTCCCTAATTTGCAGGTACAGGGAAAGTTTCACTTCCCTTTTAAGCAAATACAAGTGTAGGATAATTCAAGCATTCCACTTAAGGGTGGCACATGATATAAGGAAAGAAATACCATTCGTTTGGGCCAGCTGCAGGGCATCTTTACTATCTTGTAAATTTCCACCTGTGATGATGAGCTGAAATTAAGAAAAAAAAGATGTAAATGCTAATTTCCTAACACCAAGTTTAATATGCTTTGGGGGGACATGAACTGAGAGTCAACAGCAAGGAAAAGCGGATAGTTCAGACAATAAAAAGGAACACATCTAAAAACATTTAATGCCAGAGTTACCTTTTGAACCCCAATTTTGATTGCTCTGTCTATTACATCCAAGAAATCATCTGCAAATATATAGATATAGATATATATGTTAAATTTAAAATCCATATTTTTAAAACACAGTGATAATCACCTTTATAACTGTTCCCAATTTCTATTTCTGGGGGGGGGGCGGGGAGAGGAAGAGGAGTATTGTTCAAAGCTTTGTAACAATAAACATTGCAATCATTTTATGCCATCTTAATTAAATTGTAAACCTGAATGTAGCATTCCACTCTTTTCAACTTTTTGACAAGACAAATATTGTTGTGTACAAATGCAATATATATGTAGAGCGCTGATATATTTTCCAACAGAACTTCAAAGGAATGGCCTTCTCCAAATTGATGGGATCACAGCTAGCAATGACTGATAAAGATTTGGGACAGTATTTGAAATCACAAGCAACTCCAGCTTCCTCCATTGACTTTCCTTATTGAGAGCCCCTTGGGAAGACCACAAATTGTGATCACATGACTCTGGGGTGTTGCAATTGTTGTAAATACAGATTCCAGTAGTTCTGAACTTGCAACTGTTAATTTAGTGACTGTTTCAAGTTACAACCCTTAAATATTTTGGACACAAAATCAGTCAGTGAAGACGACCATGAAGCTTTGAAAAAAATGGAAAGCGGTCGAAAAAGCAACTGATAGTACAGAAAGTGATAGTACTCTTCAGTGAACAAGTGAATGAACATCAAATAAAATACACGGAGACCTCCATCTTAGAGGTTTCTTTCCTTTTCAGGGTCCAGAGAAAATACAGCATGAAAAGGTCTACTTATAGTTATTATTCTGCATCTACATACCCCAACATCTGGTGTTGGGAATAAACCAATAAAAAGCTTTACCTTTATGTTTTTGGGTGCCTCTGTATATACCTCTGAACATAGGATCGGTTAAGTTAACACCAATATCTAGTTAAAAGAAAAAGCAATAATTAGCTGCTAATTGGGTTGAGGGCAGGTATATAATTTTGCTCCCTGCAGCAAAGATGCTTTTCAGCATCTTCTCAAAGCATCCCTCACAGCAGCTCAACGTTGACGGAAGAGATCCTTCATTAAAACCCTATTGGTTCGATTCCTATGATGCCCTTCAACAGGCCCATAAAAAATGGTCAGAAGGTCAGCAGAATGACAGAGCTGGAAGGGACCTTGTAGGTCATCTAGTCCAATCCCCCCATTCAAGCAGGAGACCCGACACCATTTCTGACATATGGCAATCCAGGCTCTTCTTGAAAGCTTCCAGTGATGAAACTCCCTTGACAAGCTAATCTTGGGTAATGCTAATTGTGTGTGCGTGTGCATACCAGCATTTTGTGTGCAGACAGATGTGGCTTAAGGAGTTGTGCCAACCCAGAACTAACATGCATTCCCTAAACCAGAACCAGCAGGTTGTGTGAAGGCAGCCCCCAAAATCCAAGCTGGGATTTTCAAGAAGCAACTGGACTTTCTTATTTTTTTCTTTGAAGATGTTTCACTTCAAGAAGCTTTTTCAGCTCTGACTGGATTTATATTCCTTGCAGAGAACTGGTCATTTGCATCCTTTTAGAGGGTCGTTGAAGCACTTGGAGGTTTATCTGTGTCCTCAGGGTCACCTGAGTAGTGTAAATGGTTCCTGTAGTCTGCAATTTTTTTCCCTCTGGAAATCTATTCCTACTCCCACACCATTCAAAGGGTGTTCATCCCAAATTGTTTAGCTAAAAGCCTGTAGAGATTCTCAGTCATCCAGGTCATGGTTGTTTCAAAGATGCCTTTTTTCAAGAGGCAACTGGATTTTCTTGTTTTTTTTTTCTTTTGAAGATGTTTTGCTTCTCATCCAAGAAACTTCTTCAGCTCTGACAGGATAGGATTAGAGTTTCAAAAGAAAAAACAAGAAAGTCCAGTTGCCTCCTGAAAAAAGCACCTTTGAAACAACCATGACCTGGATGACTAAGTATATCTACAGACTTCAAGCTAAACAATTTGCGAGTAACACCCTTTGAATGGTGTGAGAATAAGGAATGGATTTCCAGAGGGGGGAAAAAATTGCAGACGAGAGGAACCATTTGCACTCCTCAGGTGACCCTGAGGACACAGATAAACCTCCAAGTGCTTCAACGACCCTCTAAAAGGATGCAAATGACCAGCTCTCTGCAAGGAATAAAAATCCTTCCGTTCCCCCACTATCCTGTCAGAGCTGAAGAAGCTTCTTGGATGAGAAGTGAAACGTCTTCAAAAGAAAAAAACAATAAAGTCCAGTTGCCTCCTGAAAAAAGCACCTTTGGGACAACCATGACCTCCTGGATGACTGAGAAGGCCAAGCTGGGACCATCAAGAGCAGAGGTCTTCAAACTTGGCAGCTTTAAGACTTGTGGACTTCAACTCCCAGATTCTCCAGCCAGCTATGCTGGCTGGAGAATTCTGGGAGTTGAAGTCCATAAGTCTTAAAGCTGCCAAGTTTGGGGACCCCTGATCAAGAGGGAAGCGAACTCCAAGGGTTTCCCTCCTGCTCCCCTAAACTGCTATTTTTCCCCCAGGAGGGGCTGCCCGAGCAGGCGGGACGCGTGTCATTCTCACGGCCACCCAATCCCGCATTCTGCCCCAGGACGCCCGGACGCCGCGCCGTCCCCGAGTTGCCAGGGCAACCACCCTCACCAATGAACTTGAAGCGACTCATGACGACAACAGCGGCAGAAGCCCGCGCGCGATTCGCTTGCCCCAAAGAGGCAGAGGAAGGGGAGTCGTTACGCGCCGCCCCTCACTTCCGGTTGCCTCAGGACCGCAGCTGCCTTCCTCCCCCCCCCCGGAGGAAACGGAACGTCCGGAAACGAAACGTTCCAGGGAAGGAAGTGCCCGCCTTATATGATGCTAGGCGGCGTTCTTGCCGCCAGGATTCCAACGAGTTGGTTTTGCACAGCCCAGCAAGCCTCAAGGCAAAAGCAAAATAAAAAATAAAAAAATGAAAAGATATTCTAAGAAATTAAAATAGTTATCAATGTTAAGTCAGTCTCCGTTTCATAACAGCAGGCTTCCAAGCACCCTCTTCCTTCTGGCCTTCTGCATGGGCCGTTCCGTTTTAATTGTGTATGTGTACAACCCTACCCTAATGTTATATTTATTATGTATTAATGTAATATATATATATATGTGTGTGTGTGTGTGTGTGTGTATGTATGTATGTATTTCTGGTCTTGCAGACACACCTCAAACCACACCTCACGGCACACAAAATGCTTTCACAAAAAATGAAGCAAAATTACATTACATCACATTCAATGCAATTTACTGTACTGTACAGCAGGGGGGCTGCAACCTTGGCAACATTTAAGACTGGTGGACTTCGACTCCCAGAATTCCTCAGCCAGCTTTGTTTTACTGACTGAGAAATTCTGGGAGTCGAAGTCCACAAGTCTTAAAAGTTGCCAAAGTTGGAGATCCCTGCTGTGCTGAACTGTATTATGCTATATGCTATATACTATGCAATAGAATAGAATAGAATAGAATAGAATAGAATAGAATAGAATAGAATGGAATGGAATGGAATGGAATGGAATAGAATAGAATAGAATAGAATAGAATAGAATAGAATAGAATAGAATAGAATAGAATAGAATAGAATAGAATAGAACAGAATAGAATAGAATAGAATAGAATAGAATAGAATAGAATAGAATAGAATTCTTTATTGGCCAAGTGTGATTGGACACACAAGGAATTTGACTTTGGTGCATAGGCTCTCAGTGTACATGAGGAGAATAAAATACATTCTTCAAGTATAAAAAGATACAGCACTTAGTGATAGTCAAGGTTACTAATAAGCTATCAAATCGTACTAGGAAACAAATAAAAACAATATAATTGAAAGATACAAGCAAGATGGTTATAGTAATAAGAGGGAAGAGATAGATACTAGTAAGGAAGAGAAGAATAACAGTAATACAATCTTAGTAAATAGTTTGACAGTGTTGAGAGAATTATTTGTTTAGCAGAGTGATGGCATTCGAGAAAAACTGTTCTTGTGTCTTGTGTCTTGTTCTGATGTGCAGTGCTCTATAGCGTCGTTTTGAGGGTAGAAGTTGAAACAGTTTATGTCCAGGATGAGAGGGGTCTGTAAATATTTTCACAGCCCTTTTATATACTATGCTAAATACTGTACTATGCTATATACTACGGTATACTATATACTATACGATATTATATTTAAATATATTACATTAACCTTCCACCACTTAAATATTCTACTCCCTCTGGACTCTCCTAATGCCGGCAGAGAGGCCCCTCTAATTATTATCTCTATGAGTCCATATCAAACCGTCATATCCTCCCCAGGAGGAGGAGGAGGAGGAGGAGGAGGGAAGAGGATTAATCGTAGAGATAGGAAATTGGGACTTATACTTCACAGAAAAACCGTTATAGATTCCCGAGGGTTATAAAGAAATGACCTTCCTGAGACCTTCTCTTTCACAGCCTTCGATTGGGCTCATTCGGTTATATATGCGCAGGTCAAGAGCCCGTAACGGAGGCTTCGGTGGCGGCGTGTCACTCTGCACTTTTTCTCTCTCTCTCTAGCGGCCGGAAGGTCCTCGCGCTTCCCGTCAGCCCCTGCGGCGCAAGCTCCGCCCCCCCTCACCCCCCCTGCTAGGCCTGAAAGTCGACCGGGGCGCAGCCAAGATGGCGGGCTACCTGTCACATCGGCAGAAAGTGCTGCGGCTCTACAAGCGAGCCATGCGGCACCTCGAGTCCTGGTGTATCTATCGGTGAGTCCCCGGCCCCTTCGGCCCGTCCCGCAGGCCCCTAAGGAGCCTCCGCTCCCTTCCTGGCTTTGCGGGAGGACTCCCAGCCCCATCATCCCCAACCCCCGCCGAGCCCGGGTGTGTCTGGGTCTTGTAGTCTTAACCCGGGGGGGGGTAGCGAGGGACGATTTCCCAAGCTCCGAAGAGCCGGCACCTCCCTTTGCGCGTTTTCCTCCCTTTGCGCGTTTTCTTGCGCGGATCCTAACTCCGAATTAATCCGCGCATCTGTTTGCACGGCAGCTCGGGGTGGGGGTGGGGGGTTCGGTCAGAAAGGCTGAGGGAAAGTAAAGCAAAAGATACTTCATGAAAATATTTCAATTTTTTTAAAAAAGGGGGAAAAAGTTTAAGTATGAATGGGTTTTTTCAGGCATCTGAAACAAATATATATAGAAATATATAAAATTAAGGCTATTAGGATTAGAAAATACATGGTAATCAATCAAAAAGGGGACAATGAAGAAAATGAAACAATATATGAGACATTTGGGGCGAAAGTCACAGTGGAAAGCAGACCATGAAGAAACACAGGTTAAAAAGAGGATATATTTATATGTTGTATGTTATGTGTATGTCATACAGTGTAGTAATAAAACAATAAAACATTATTTAAAAAAAGATATTTCAATAATGTGCATTAATATTAGAACTATATAATGGATAATTACTTTGTATGTTGTGTGGAAGTTAAATATATATTAAAATATGGCTAAGAGTGGAATGCTAGAATTAAATAAGATAGATAACGGAAGAATATACATTTATACATTGATTTTAGATTCTTTCTCCAGCCAGCTATACCATCTATTCCATGTTTCGTAATAAAACGTTTCCTCTCGGTCTTTAAATGTATAAACGTAAGAGAAGATATTATAGAGGAACGAAATAGTTAAGGAGTAATAGAGATGTATATATTGTAGTGAATAAATGAATTAGTAAGTAATATATAAAATGTATGTGTATATAGTTGGTCAAAAGATAAAATAGATATTACCAAAGATGCTGGTATTGGAAAGCTGTAAAAATGTAACAAAGATGTTAAAAGATGTAAATGCTGAATAAAAATTATTTTATATGTTAAAAAAAAAAGATAATGGAAGAATATATTTTAATGTAAACATGTAAACATGTATTAATAGTAGAATTTCAAGGATGGGAAATATGAACAGAGGTATGAAGAAGAATTAAGTTTTTAATTGGAAAATTAGAATTTGAATGACAGTATTATCAAGCATAAAAACATGCTAGAATTAAATAATGGGTGATTAGAAAATGAAAAAATGTAGGAAAATATGTGTAATAGCAGGGAACAGAAAAGGAATGTTATCACGTCTTATAGTGATATATAATATACTGATAGGAAAGGAGAAAAGTTAAAATAGAGATAGAAATAAGAGGTGAATTATAGTATATATATAAACCAATATATTAAGATATATGGAAGAGTAAGAGGAAGGTTAAAAACTGAAGTAAAGGATATGAGCAAATAATGAAATGTAATTATTGTGTATAATATGATTATATTATCTTTATTGAAATATATGAAACTCAGATATCACACCATTCACGCATCGATATGTACAAATAATATAAAATTAAAAAAACAGATTTTTTTAAAAAGAAAGGCTGAGGGAGGGCTAGTATCGGGGGTCCTGCAGGCAAAGCCATGGTGGGGATATAGCCTTGCTTCTTTGCTGGATACGCTGGGCAGATTGCCCAGGCCAGATGAAGTAGTGGGATTCAGTCAGGAAATACAGCTTGGGAAGAATAGAATAGAAAGAATAGCATAATAACATTATTGTCACTTTGAATGTTCACTAATTGGCATACATTAAAATGAAATTTTGTTGCATGCAGCTCTCAAAGGGTCTCCACCTCCAATATACACTACATAAACATGACTAAATAAATAGAGAGATAGACAGACAGACTTAGAATAAATTTATTGTCACTTTGAATGTTCGCTATTCGGCATACGTTAAACTGAAATTTCGTTGCATACAACTCAGAGTCACCACCTCCAATATACACTTGTATATATACAATAATACCAACATGACTAAATAAATAAATAAACACAAAATTATGCATACACCTCCATATATTATATGATACAGAGAAACAACACAGTCTAGTTAGCAACGTATACATGTACGTGGCAAGAAAAAATAAATCTTGCGAGTTTATCAGATGGATGGCATAGTGGCCAAAGCTGTTCCAGAATCGGGTAGTCCTGCTAGAAATACTTCAAAATGTGGAAATCGAAAATAATGATAATGGCTTATCTTCATTGGGATATTGGTAAAAAAAAATACTGTCAGATAAGCCACGTCTGTTTATTAAGCAAGTGTTAAATAGCCACCTTTGCATATTGTGTCTGGTGGTGTCTGGTTCTTGTTGGGCTCAACGTATTAGTATGCAAAATATATATTGGAATGGGCAAATGAGGATGATGGAATGAGGTAGGAGGTTGCATTTTTTCTATGAAGAAAAACAAAATAATTTAGCTTCAGAAGTAAGTACTGTACTATAATTGTTTCAGCCCTACATAAAATTTATTTATTAAACTTATATGCCGCCGATCTCGCCAAAACTGACTCTGATCTCCGGCTACAAAGTTCCACTTATTTAGGAGGGGCGGGGAGAGAAATCCTACAATCGGATATATAATCTATTTAAAATATAATGTAAATAATGGATTGATTACAGCTGAGTATAAATACTGTAACTTGATTCACTATAGCACAATATTTGATTATTAGGGCCCTCTAGTGGTCATTCCATATAATTTTTTCACTTAACAAGTTTTTAAGGAGTGTGTTCTTGCTATGTTTTTATCTCACTTTTATTTATGTTCCCACCTGCTATTTTCCCTACAAGAACAACCTTTTGAGATGTGTTGGGCTTGAGTGGCTGATGCAAACTTACCAAGCCAGCTTTGAAGAAGTCAGCGGCAAACCTCTTCCATACTCTTGACATGATAGCAGTCTTACAATATTTGAAGGGCTCTCACAGGGAAGAGGGGGTCAATTTATTCTCCAAAACAGCAGGGGACAGGACAGGCTCATCAGAGGGAGAGCCAACTTTGAAACAAGAAGGAATTTCCTGGCAGTGAGAATTCTTAGCAGTGGAATCATTAAGCAGTGCCTTTTGGGAGTTGTGGGTACAGCATTGCTGGGTGTTTTTAAGAAAAGATTGGACAACCATTTGTCTGAAATGGTACAAGGACTCCTGCCTTGGGCAGATGATTGGACTAGAAGACAACCAAGCCCTATAATTCTTACCAAGAAAACTGAGCAGGTGTACCCTTGTCATCACCAGATGTGGAATCGATGAATGAAATTCCCACCTCATTAAGTGAAATATGAAGTATTTGTCAGTTCTAAAGATAGCTATGTTTTTTTTCTTTCTTGGAATAAATACTATCTTTTAATATTCTCAGGGATAAGTATAGATACTATGCCTGTCTGATGAGAGCACGATTTGATGAACATAAGGATGAAAAAGACATGGTTAAAGCAACCAAGCTGTTGATGGCCGCTGAAGAAGAATTTTGGGAAAGGCAACATCCTCAACCGTACATCTTTCCTGACTCTCCAGGTGGCACAAGCTATGAGAGATACGAGTGCTTTAAGGTCAGGAGGTGACATGGCAGGCATTACAAGTAATCAGTTCCTTGATAGGTGGCAGAATATTGGCATTCTCAATCCCAAGAGATTTCAGTAACTTTATTATTTTTTATTATTATTTATTGAATTTGTATACCGCCCTACTCCCGAAGGACTCAGGGCGGTGAACAGCCAGATAAAATACATATAATACAAATGTTAAAAAACCATTAAAATACAATTAAATAATTGGCCCGGAAAATGAAATTTAAAACACCCCAAATTCATAAGACAAATTTAAAATTTAAAAATGTTAAAAAAAATTAAAAACAATTTAAAAGGGAGGTTAGGCCAGGCCAGCCTGTTGGAATAAAAATGTTTTGATGGCACGGCGGAAAGCGCGCAGATCCGGGATCCTCCGTATCTCCAGGGGGAGCTCGTTCCAGATGGCAGGTACCCCCACAGAGAAGGTTCTCTCCCTGGGGGCCGCCAGTTGACACTGTTTGGCCGATGGCACCCTGAGGAACCCCTCTCTATGGGAGCGTACTGGTCGGTACTCTCTATGGTAGCTGATCTGTCCCCGTACCCACACACACACACACAGCCAGTCGAGGGTTAAGGAAACACTTTGGAACGCACCCAGTTCTTATCTCCCACTTGGCAGTGATAGACACACCGTCTGCCAAGTGACTTTATTTTCAAAGTAAAACAGAAAGACAAATACTCAAGAGTCCAAATGTCCGACACTTTAAATCTTTCTCTCAGCAGCTCCGGACGAGGCTTTAGTGACTATCCAAGGTTTGCTTTGTTCGTCACAAAAATCCTTGACCACCACCCTCTATTATATAGTCTCTGGGGTGTGGTCCAGTGACTCAGTTCTAATCCCTAGCACGCCTCCTAAGCTGCTGCAAACGTTTATCACGCCTTCGGAGGCGTGCGTCCAGGAATGATGTTTCTTTATCACTCTGATCCGAATCAGCTGTCTCCTCTCCCTCGGCCGGCACTTGAGACAATGCCAGAGGGGAGGGGCCTGGAGAGGGAGGCCTGGCTGACTCCTCTTCCTCATGCTCGGAGCTTTCTTCCTCCGATGGGACAGGCTCAGAGGGCGGGGCCACAACAGGAGCGTACTACTTTCATTTGTAAGTAGGAGATTCCCCATAAAATGCAGAATTATTCTTTAGTTCTGAGGAAGAATCCATGAATGAAGGCCATAGGGAAGCTGTCCAAGTCTCACATTAATGAGCATCAGTGACCAGCCTCTATCTGCATTGGCAAGACCCTAAAGACACAGGAGGAAGCTCAGAGCCAGGGCATGGTTTGCTTGGAGGAGCACTTCTGTTTGACCTCCAGTTTGAAGAGAGGCTAATAGGAGTGGGATATGAGGGAACAGAAGGCACTAGAACAGGGATGTCAAACTTGATTTCATTGAGGGCCGCATCAGGGTTGTGTTTGACTTTGGGGGGCCTGGGTGTGTGTGGCCAGCTCAACATCACTCGTTGTGGCGCCGGTGGTGGCCCAAGCGCTCTGCCAGTGAAAACGGAGCTTGGGAGGGCTGCCCTCCCAAGGTCTGTTTTCACTGGCAGAGGGTTGCAGGAGGCCATCGCAGCCAAAAACAGAGCTCGGGGGGTGGGGGGGAGGTTACATGGATGCAGCCTGCGGGCCTTGAGTTTGAGACCCCTGCTCTAGAAAGTTGCTGGCTGCCTAACGACAGTCCTGGAGAAGCTGACAGGACAATTCTGTATTCAGCAATGTCTCATGTTTGCAACTTAGTGCTTTAGACGTCCGGAGGCAGGAGTTTGAGCCACACAAACTGATCTGAAGATAGCATACTCTCCACATTGCTGGACAGTGCTTTATGCACTGAATGGTCGCTAGGGAAGGATCTAATTATTTAAGACATTCAGTTTCTGAGGCTTGCCAATCATCCCGCCATTAAAAATGTGCCTTCTACCATTCCTTTATTACATCCGCACTTTTGGGGAGGCTGAAGGAGGCACTGCATTTCTGTAGCAGCACCAACTTTTTGGAACAGCCTTCCTGTGAGATCCACGGTGGTGCAGTGGTTAGAGTGCAGTACTGCAGGCTACTTCTGCTGACTACCGGCGGCCTGCAATTTGGCAGTTCGAATCTCACCACGCTCAAAGTTGACTCAGCCTTCTAGCCTTCCGAGGTGGGTAAAATGAGGACCCAGATTGTTGGGGTCAATATGCTGACTCTGTAAAACCGCTTAGAGAGGGCTGTAAAAGCACTGTGAAGCGGTATATAAGTCAAAGTGCTATTGCTATCAGGCTGGATCAACCCCCATGGTTTTTCAGGAACTTTTGAAGCTGTTCTTAAACGCCTGGTTGGTCGTTTCCACCTTATCTTTATTTTTGGTGGTTTTACTATTACACTATATTGCCATTGCATTTTTATTTTCAAACCATACATATGTATTTCTTATCCCTGTGTAAGCCTCCAAATTTTTGGTTTGAAATATTTGGTTTGCATAGAAATATGTTACCTCAGTAAGTAAATATCCAAAATTAGAAGGAAAAGCATTATGAGCATCTAAATACTCATCACCCTTATGTTAATCTACAAACGGGAATAACTTTTTCTTATAAAATGCCCCGATTCTGCCTTCCCAAGATAATCAAGTAGTTTTCTGGAACTAAGTCTTCTAATGCAGGAAATAGTATCTTTGGAATCTTATCATTGTCACCAGAAACAATGGTGTTTCTCAACGTCAGCAAAGATGTATGGACTTCAACACCCAGAATTCTTCAGCCAGCATGTTGGCTGAAAAGTTCTGGGAGTTGAAATCCATACATCTTAAAGTTGGTGAGGTTGAGAAACAATGGTTTAGGCAGACCAGCAACCACCGTCTAACCATTATTAGATGGAGAATATACAAGATCTTTTATGTAGATTAATTTTGTATTCCTTTAAAGATGCAGTGAATAACCTTTTTTTTTATACTTCCACCCTGTAGGCACCTGATTGGATGCTAGACATGTGGCATCCATCAGAGAAAGCAATGTACCCAGATTACTTTGCTAGGAGAGAACAATGGAGGAAGCTGCGCCTTGAAAGTTGGGACAAGGAGGTTGGTTATCGGACTATATTTTACCATTGCTTTTCCGTGAATAATTTTGAAGCAAGTCACAAATCTGTGGGGTGATAGTTTGCGATATGGGTCTTAAAATGTGGCCTCATGGCCTTATCACCTACTATTTAGTCCCCCACTTGAGCTTGTGAAAGATTGAGGGCAAAAGAAGAAGGGGACGACAGAGAACGAGGTGGCTGGATGGAGTCACTGAAGCAGTAGGCGTGAGCTTAAATGGACTCGAGAGGATGGTAGAAAACAGGAAGGCCAGGAGGAATGTTGTCCATGGGGTCACAATGGCTCAGACACAACTTCACAACTAACAACAACAACAGCATTAGATGCATTCATTCCGCCTCTGTCCATTTGGAGCCATCTCCCAACTTCGAACAGCACTCTATTCTTTTCTATTCATCCCTGAATCTCCAAAGAGGCTTTTAAATGGATTGGGGGGCGGGGAGCGGACACTTTTTATAGCAATATCACTATTTTTTTTTTCTAGATCTGTTGCTGGCTGGAATTGGAAATGAACTTTTAATCAAAGCGCCCCAAATGCCTTAAAACAGCCTATTTTCAAATGATAGTGACACTGTTACTGTTGGTGGTTTTTAAAAACTGGATTCAGGGTGTTTATGAACTGCTGTATTAACGTTTTTCATGCTTGAAAAGGATGATTTGAAAATGCTTCCACTGAACTCTCTCCTCACCTTGCAGTTATCTTACAAAATAAAACAACAAACACACTGACACACATCCACTACTTCCAAGAAATTTAAAAAACCCTTTGGATGTGCTGCTGGAAGCTTCTTTTTATTACAGGTAGTCCTCAACTTACGACGACAATGGAGCCCCCAAGTTTCTGTTGCTGAGCATTGTTAAGTCAGGTTTGCTCCATTTTACGACCTTCCTTGCCGTAATTGTCAAGCGAATCACTGCAGTCAAGTTAGCAACACAGTGAATCTGGCTTCCCCATTGACTTTGCTTGTCAGAAGATCCTAGAAAGTGATCACATGACCCCCCCTGGACATTGCAACCGTCATGAACATGAGCCAATTGCCAAAGCCTCTGAATTTGGATCACCTGACCGTAGGGATGCTGCAACGGTCATGTGAAAAGCAGTCATAAAGTCACACTCTTCAAAGAACTGTCACTAAATGAATGGTTGTATGTTGAGGACTGCCTGTATAAGAAATCCTGGGAGTGTTCTGGAAGCCATCCCAGATGCCTTGTGGAGACAAAGTACAGCCCCTTTACCCTCTGCCTCATTGCCACCTCGTGGCTCAGCATTTCCTCGTCAGATAGAATGCCGTGCATTAGTTACACAGGTACTCCTCGAACATACGACCGCAGCTGATGTTTATGTTGCTAAGCAAGACACTTCTTAAGTGACTTTTGCCCCATTTCAGAACCTTCCTTGTCACCGTCGTTAAGTGAATCGCTGCATGTTCGTTAAATTAGTCACACGGCTGGTCAAGGGAATCTGGTTTCCCCATTGACTCTGCCTGTCCGAAGGTCGCAAAACATGACCCCCGGGACACTCCAACCGTCACAAACACAGAGTCAGTTGCCAAGGGTCCAAATTTTGATCACGGGGATGCCGCATTGGTTGTAAGTGTGAAAAATGGCCCCAAGTCACTTTTTTCCCCGTAACTTTGAAGCGGTCACTAAATGAACTATGTGGTTTTAAGTCGAGGACTACCTGTAACGTGGAAACGCTGCTTAAGACCTGTCCTAAATTAAGCATTTCCCCCCTCGAGTGTATTAAATGCTGCAGGTTCTGAGTGAGTGGTTAACCCTGTTTCTCATTGACAGGTCCAGCAGCTTCAGGAAGAAACCCCACCTGATGGTCCCATTACTGAAGACTTGCCTCCCGCTCGTAAAGAGGGACACCTGCCCCCTCTCTGGTGGCCCTACGTAACTAAGCCTCGCAGATACCCGTTGTAAAAGAGCTCCTTTCTGAATGGTTTTATCTAATCCCACAAAATGGTCTGTGAGCTCCCTGCAGCCGGTCTTCTTGTATTACTGTACTAGAAAACCCAATAAAAGTCTGATATAAGCTGAACTGTGACCCTGCCTGCCTGGCCATTACTAAATAGATGACTTTAGCAATCTTAACTCGGACAAGCAAGACGTGTGCTGTCTCTTAAAGCAGGGGTCTCCAACCTTTTTAAATTTTAAATTTTTAAATTTAAAATTTTAATGGGTTATTTTATGGGCAAAGGGTTTTAAATTTTGGGAAGCCAATTTGATTTAATTCTGTTTCAATTTATTTTGATTTTTATATTGCATGTATTTTAATCTCGGCTGTTCACCGCCCTGAGTCCTTCGGGAGAAGGGCGGTATACAAATTTAATCAACCTAACCTAAACCTAAACCTTGTCAACTTTAAGACTTGTGGACATCGACTTTCAGGGAGTTCAATTCTGGAAGTTGAAGTCCACAAGGCTTAAAATTGACAAGGTTGGAGATTCCTGTCTTAAAGAAGTCAAATGATACTCCACAATGTTGGTATAGAGCAGTGCCCCCCCCCAACCTTTTTGGCACCTGGGACCGGTTCCGTGGAGAGAGATTTTTCTGCAGATCGGAGTGGATGTGGTTTCGTGTGCCGCTTGCATCCCACGGATGGGGCTATGCTTGTTTGTGCGGCCCACCTGGCATGGTACGGGGGGTCCATGGATCAGGGTTTGGGGGACCCCTGGCACAAAGGATGTAGTTAACAAAAGGGATCCATTATGTAATTTTGCCTCGGTGTGCGTCTGCGCGCACGCGTGACAGAGCACGGGCTCTTACCCTCTTACCACTGAAGCCAAAGTACATAGAATTGATCTTGGAAAAAGCTGGAATCCCCTTGGGACCACTGATCCCAACTCTTAATTTTGCAGCTCCTCCAAGTAGAAGCACGTTGTACTCTCAAGAGTTTTAACTGCTCCCTGGCCAGATTCTGTCTTAAAGCAGAATACAAAGCTGCAGCCTTCTAACGCTTCTAATGTGATACTAATCTTAATACTAATAAGTTGGTTGAAGAGCTTTGAGGATGATGGTTCAAGATGCTTGTAAGAAATGGTTTACACACTAAATGAATTAATCTGTTGAAAACCATACTTCCTGTGGCATAAGGTAATGCGCTCTGGATCATCCCGATTAAAAGTTGCTAGGCTTTTTGAGAGACTAGATGGGTCCTTGAGTACCTGATCCTTAAGTGAGCGCTCAAAGGCCGCAGGATGTCACAGGAGCTTAAGCCTTAATTATGAATAGTGAGCTTTAGGGAAGTTGCCTTGATTAAGAACAAATGGAAAGTGCATTTCTTGCCAGAAGTTGTCTTAATGGTTTCCACCTTATTTATTAAATTAGCACAGGGGCTTCATATAAGCTCAGCATCCGAACCTTTCTGAATGACCATTTCAGTGCAAGATAGTTTTTTTTTCAATACAGGTAGTTCCTCAACCTACAACCACAATTGAGCCCAACATTTCTGTTGCTAAGTGAAACGTTTAAGCGAATTTTGCCCCATTTTATGACCTACCTTGCCACAGTTGTTAAGTGAAACACTGCAGTTGTTAAAAAGTTAGTAGCGCGGCTGTTAAGCGAATCTGTTTTCCCCATTGACTTGGCTTGTCAGAAGGTGGCAAAAGGTGGATCGCATTGCAGTTTTCCCAGGAAAACTGCAATCTTGTCATAAATATGAACCACTTGCCAAGCGGCTTGAATTTTGATCACGTGACCACGGGGACCCTGGTTGTTAAGTGTGAAAAACGGTCCAAAGTCACTTTTGTTCAGTGCCGTTGCAATTTTGAACAGTCACTAAACTGTTGTAAATCGAGGATCACCTGTTAATCTGACTGTGAAAGCAAAGCCACTCATAGTTGGTATTGTGGGCTCAAAACTACAAGAGCCACTAAAATCTCCTCTTGAGAGAGGAGTAAATTTTAAAAAGGTACAACAGATGTGAGTTTAATTTGCTTCTTCAGTCACGGAAGGATAGGAAGGGTGATTCAGAAAGACCCCCTTTGCTATTTAAAATGCCGTGGACTCAGCAAGGTTGGCTTGATAGCTCTGGGTTGAAAATTTTATCTTCTACCCATTCCAGCCCATTCCCCTAAATTTATAGGATGGCAACTTTGAGAATCTGCAGACCGCTTGAAAGGCACAACATGGAGAAGATTACCTGGCACATTGATATCACTGGTATACGAGGAGAAAGCCTCAGAAATGAAAGTAGCTTAATTTTGTCAGAATCGGATCGCTAATAAAGGAAAATTAAGTCCCGAGTATTAATTAGCTCCAGTTTCCAAAATACAGCCTCAGGTCAAAATTGCATCAAAATAATTCAAAATTACAAGGGGGATGTGCGTTTATGCTACAAACTTTTTCTGCAAAATGTGATATAGCAATGAGAATGGTGCCACACCAATCATAAATTTATCTTTTTATTGATACCAGTAACAACATTCCATTCATTCATTGGTTTTTCATGTAACATTTTCATGCTTTTTGCATGAAAAACTAACACGCTCTAACATCAGACTAAACGACTAGGTTCCATCTTTATTCGGTATCTAAACTACACTTTTTGGCTTTTCTCTTGTGAACTGCAGTAGGATCAGCAATAGGTGCTGCGGTGGCGCAATGGTTAGAATGCAGTACTGCAGGCTACTTCTGCTGATCACCAGCTGACAGCAGTTTGGCAGATCGAATCTCACCAGGCTCAAGGTTGACTCAGCCTTCCATCCTTCCGAGGTCGGTAAAATGAGGACCCAGATTGTTGGGGGCAATAGGCTGACTCTGTAAAATTGCTTAGAGAGGGCTGAAAAGCACTGTGAAGCGGTATAAAAGTCTAAGTGCTATTGCTATCATCCCTGGGGAGATTCCAGCCATAATCGGCAAGCGTTGGACGGACTCAATTTCCATTGGTATCTTTTCTCCATGCCTGCGATATCCTGGTGCAGGAGTAGACAACCTTAAATACTCAGAGCCACAAAGGTCCTAACCGGAAGCCCCCTGTTCAATTCTGGAGCTGACTAGAAGTCTGGTTCCCTCACCATAGAGTCTCCTCCTAGCGCGGCGTCCTTTTTCCTCTGCGGACCGGAAGTCCAGTTCCCCCACCATAGTTTCCTCCTAGCGCAGCGTCCTTTATCCTTTGCGGACCGGAAGTCTGGGTCCCCCACCATAGAGTCTCCTCCTAGTGTGGCGTCCTTCTTCCTCTACCTATCCTAAACGAAAGCCCTATCAATTGTGGAGCAGACTGGCGACGGAGCCGCAGCAGAGGGATGAAAGAGCCACATGCGGCTCCAGAGCTGCAGGTTGCTGATCCCTGTCCTGGTGGAATCTCTTCCCATGCTCCTCACTCACTGCCCCATAGTTCAAAGGGAAATAGCCTAACTGCGAGTGTAAGAAGTGAACTTTCAGTGACAAGTTTGCATCAAGCACTGTATAGGAATCTAAGCAAATAATCCACATGTTTTTCATAGTCTTGCTGTTCTCAAAGTGAAGATAAATTTATACACTTCCGTCTGGTACCATTCTCATTCTTCTACCGTACTTTGTCAAAAAGATACGAGGCATCATGATAACTAGACACCTCCCTCCCTTGTGGGCAAATATACTCGCCTGTGTATAATTTATTCTGAAATATCTTGAAAACTTTCCTCAACCAGCACCTTTATCACCTGCTTTCTAATTCATCTAATCCAAATATGTAAAATTAATACATTTTATTTCAGAGGTCGATAATTTCCCAAAATTTGTAGCCCAGTGATACTCAAAGGGCAGTGGTGGGTTTCAAAAGTTTTTACTACCGGTTCTATGGGTGTGGCTTGGTGGGTGTGGCAGGGGAAGGATACTGTAAAATCTCCATTCCCACCCCAATCCAGGGGAAGGTTACCATAAAATCTCCATTTCCTCCCGATCAGCTGAGACTAGGGAGGCAGAGGATAGATGGGATGGGGGGGGGCAGTCAGAATTTTTACTACCGGTTCTCCAGAATTACTCAAAATTTCCGCTACCGGTTCTCCAGAACTACTCAAAATTTCCGCTACCGGTTCTCCAGAACTGGTCAGAACCTGCTGAAACCCACCTCTCTTAAAGAGCATCAACGAGATCCCACACAAATCCTTTTTTCTTGGCTTATACACAAAAGACACAACCCACTCCAAATTTTTGTCAGCAGGTCTTTATTTGTAATATAGGCTTGAAGCATTCATTACAAGGTAGAAGGGAAGCACAGTTAACAGCAATTTTTTTTATTTTTAGCAGTTCGGAAGGAAAACACTGCATGGGGAATAGAGAGGTCAACTCTCGGTACAAACTAGCAAACTAAACCACAAGAACTTACCATTAGAAACATTTTACATTGTGACGCTGCTGTTACAATAGGCAAGGAACACAAAAAAAAAAAAAAAAGGTTAAAAAGGAAAAGAAACCTCAAAAAACAAACCAACAGAACTATCCAAAGTGGTTTTTTTGCCACATGTTAAACATCAAATTTTGGCAATATCATTTATTATTTTTTTAACCAAGATTTAAATTCTGGTGTTGAAAAGGAAGAGGCTGCAACTCTCAAAATACAGCTTCATCCAAAATGTTTCCTTAAAACGTGCTTTTTTGAAAAATATCTCCTGCGTGAGCTTCACTGAAAGCAACGGGGCTGGGTATGCAAGGGTTAACAGAAACACCTTTTAATAAAAAAAGAAGAAAAGCTTAGAAAAATCAGCTTGTCAGCCTGTACCCTTATTTATTTATTTTTTTTGTCCCATTTTTCTTCTCTTTCTCTCAAGTGGGTAAGAAAAATGAAATCTCGGAGCATCATTTGCAGAGAGCATCTGCTCGTTTTCAGGACAAGTGGGCTAACTTTGACAGCACTGTTTTATTATTTTTATTTTCCAAAGGAAGAAAAAGCTTATTATTTTTTTTGGGATCATGCCTTTTTTTTTCTTTTTTTTTTGCACTTTTCGCTTCCGACGCCATAATGAAAAAGTGTTAAGCAACCACAGCTGTGTAAATGTATATAGAACACAGTGACTATAAACAGGTTTACGATACATCTCACATCCAATGCAGTTATGTATTTAAAGCATAAGAAGTTTACGTAGGCAAGATGGCAGCCAATACGAATCTCCCGAGTGTCCATGGCGGAGGAGATTGTGTGTGTGCGCGCGCACTCACAACCCAGCTCCTTCCACGATGAGTGGGGCGCATCGCTGCGGCCACAAACACACCCCTCTGAAGTCAAGAATTCTGCTAGCATCGCCCATGTAGAAATAAGGCAGACGGTATCCAGTTAGACTGCAGAATGCTTTTTCTTTAAAAAAAGAAACAGAAAACCACAAAACTTAAAACACCGGGAGGGAAGGGGGGGGGTGCCTGAGTTATGCATATTTCTACTGACCCCATGAAACGGAAAATACCACGGCAATGTTCATGTTAAGAAAAGGAAATCTTACTTATAAATTTATCAACGATGCTTCCCCCTCCCCAATAATTGTGTGTGGAGGGGAGAATAAAAAGAAAACCAGTTGTGAATGTCCCTCCCGCTATAATAAATAAAATCTAGAGTGTTCCCGTCCCTTCCCAATCCCCAAATTTTGCACCCAAACTGCCGTTTCGGAAAAAACAGTCCCCCTTAAAAGTAACATTTGCAGTTTTACTGGAGTTCCCAGTTACTTGCCCATCTGTCTAATGAGTTGGTTTGTCAAAAGTCCTGGGGAAGGTGTTTTTTTTTGTCCATTTATTTGGCTACCCAGCCTGCTGGGCGCAGCCAGTAAAAGGTATAAAGTTATAATTAAGAGCTCCCTGGTTTTCTTTTAAATTTTTTGCTCTTTGTTTTTTATTTTTATTTTTTAAACAACGTAAGACACCCTTCTGCCTTCACAATGTCTTGCTTTTATGTTGTGTTCCGTTTACTTCTTTCGAGGAACAACAAAGTGAAGAGAGGAATGCAAAGTTTAAAGCCTGTTGCCCAAGATGGTACAAAACTGATTTATAACGAGGTTTTACAATGACCGGAAATGAAAGCATACTGCATGGTTTTACAGAGGCAAGAAATCTTAACATGGTCCTTTTTCACAGGGCCAACATAGGAAAAAAATACCTAGCAGGCAAGTACCCAAAAGTCTTTGAAACACCTTACTTAAAATGAACACTGTAATTCATTATGGCTTATTTGGACGCATTTACAATGAAACTACCTGCTAGGCTACATTTTTTTGTGCAAGAAATTAAGCCCCTCCCTTCCTAATCCCTAAAAATTAACCCAATACAGCCGTTTTCTCTCTCTCTCTCTCTTTCTCTCTTCCCATTATATATTGCTTTAATCAGCTTCCGTTTCCTGCTTTTGCCACAGGTGAACAGCTCGCTGTATTTCAGTTAAGGAGGTGTGTTCTTGCGAGGAACTTTGTACAAGAAAACGAACACTGGTTTGAGACTCCCACTATGACTTGACAAGGTGCTCTACAAAACCATCCAAGAGGGAGAACTGCATTACCACCGGACCACTGCCCCCACCCCCCACCCCTTTGCTAAAATTTAACTACTTGACATTTCTTATAACCATCCTTTTGTGAATGAATACACTTTACAAAGAGTTATTAAAAGGTTAAATGGGATTTTGGCACCTTTGAGGGGGAGGAGGAAAAAAGGGAGGGACTGAGAATTTGAAAATGTGCAGAGGAAAATATAATCAGCCAGATTTACAAAGAAAATAATAATAATAATAATAATCAATAGTCAGCAAGATGTTCCTTTAAGCATTTCACCTGGTCAATTCTAACCTCCCCTCCCGTTTTAGAGACCACTGCCAGTTGTCTCTCTCTCTCCTAGAAAAATCTTGATTGTACAATAATGGACCAAGACACAAAGATGATACCATCAGGTAAAGGTCCGTTCTCTTTTTCACTCAACTTGGGCAGTGATTCGGCATCTAGGAAATACGGGGTGCTGAGCGATCGTTCGTGGTGGTCTTCCTCAGCTTAACGCCCCTGCGGATAGCATTCAGCATGTCTTCGCCCTGTGGGGCCTCCGCTGGGTTCTGCCCACCTGTGTGGGGCACGGTAGGTTGGCATGGGGGAGCAGTGATGCTGACGTCTTCTCTTTCGTTCTCCTCTCCCTCGTTTTCAGCCGCCGGCGGTCTCTGATCCTCTGTGCTGCTCGGCTTCTGGCTGACGGGGGGAAGGCTGGCGGTTGCTTGCCCGCTCCACGAGGAGGTACATACGGTGGGGGTGCTGCCCCCTCCAGCCTCAGGACTTTGCTCGGCGCTTTCTTCTGCCCCACTCGGGAAACCAGGAAGCCCCACCGGCACGTCTGGCACAGATGGAGTTTTAACGGGAATCACGGGGGTCTTAATGGGGATTGGTCCCGCGCCAATGGTCCCACGCCTTACTGCCGGTTTGGTGGAAGGCGTCCGTCGGATGGTGGCCACGCCTGGCGTGACGATCACAGGGCCAAGGGTGGTTGGGAGGCCCGCAGTGGAAGCAGGACGCTTGGCGTGGAACATGCGACGGTAGGACTGGCTGATGTCGCTGTTCCTTGGAATAGTTGAAGACTTGTCGAATTCTTGCTGCTCGGTGTCTTGATCACCACTCACAGAAAAGTAGTCGTAATCTGAAACTAGGAAGGCAAAAAAGGGGAGTCAGAACAGCAAATCTTCAGGATTGACTTGGCAATCTCAAGTGTAAGTGTTACCGTATTTCTCGGAGTATAAGATGCACTTGCCCCCCCAAAGTGGGTGAAAATTTCGGTGCGTCTTATAGGCAGAATACGGGCCTGTTTTTGGCCTCCCGAACCTTCCGTGCTTCGCGTTTTCACCCTCCCCAGCAATAGAAATTGTGGGCTCAATTTTCGAGGACTCCCTGTATACAGGAAGCCCTCAACCTGCGACCACTATTGAGCCCAACTTTTATGTTTGTTAAGTGATAAATTTGTTAAGTGAGCTTTGCCCCATTTTATGACTTCTTGCCACATTTGTTAAGTGAATCACTGCAGTAGTTAAATTAGTAACCCGGTTGTTAAGTTAATCTGGTTTCCCAGATTCTTTGCTTGTCAGAAGGTTGCAAAAGGTGATCGCATGACCCCGGGGACACTGCAACTGTCATACATGTGAAGGTAAGTGAATCCTTCCTCTGCTCCCGTTCCTTACCTTGTGAGGGAATTGTATCTTCAGAACAGCAAGGTGTGGTTGTCTGAGTGCTGTAGCCACTGGAACACTGCAAGGAATCCCTGCTGCTCCTCTGAATGTCCAGCTGCAGCCCTCGGGTAAGAGCGAGAGCCAGCTCTTCACATGCTTCCATCTCCTCTCCTTGCTATCAACACAATGAAGGTCTCTCATTAGATTAGAATAACATTACAAGAACACTCTTCCTCTTGCAAAGTCTGGGTTGTCTCTTTTCAGTTGGATTTTCATTCACAACATGGACAGGTTGGACTTAAGCACACCCCATGCTCTACACTGGCCCCCTCTATCTGTGTTGGGAGTACACTTTCTGTCATCCAAAGCTGTTTCAGCTAATCAGGGTTAGGGTTTGTCGCCATGCTTGAAGGATACCTGGTTGAGGAAGGCCCCATAATTGGGTTAATACAATGGTCTAAGCCAGGGGTGTCAAATTCGATTTCATTGAAGGCCGCATCAGGTTGTGTTTGACCTCAGGAGGGCAGGGGGGCGTGGCCATGGTGGGTGTGGCCAGCTCAATGTTACTCGTCTCAGGGGAGCCTGTGGTGGCCTGAGCACTTTGCCACTGAAAATGGGCTCCGGAGCTCGGTTTTCAGCCGTGACGGCCTCCTGCAATCCTCTGCCAGTGAAAACAGAGCTCGGGAGGGCCACACACGGTCCTTGCAAGCTCTGTTTCCGGCTGCGATGGCCTCCTGCAGCCCTCTGCCAGCGAAAATGGAGCTTGGGGGCTCTGTTTTCACTGGCAGAAGCACCCCAGGCCAGTCCTTTGCTGTTTCCAGAGCAGCTCCATGGGCCAGATCTAAGCACCCCGCAGGCCAGATCTGGCCCCCGGGCCTTGAGTTTGACATCCCTGGTCTAAGCCATGGTTTCTTTTAACTTTGGTTGTAGAACAAACCAGTGTCCTGATTTGCAGAAAACAAGCCAGAACATGGTATAAAATTTATATAGTGGCCAAGTCCACATCTTTCACTGAATCAAAATCAAACAAACCACATTATGGTTTAAAAGGATATATTAATTGAGCTCAATGGGGAGAGATGTGAATAACCGAAGACCCCTCAATTCAGTAGGTCCATACTAACTATTAATGATTCGATTGTAGTGGATAAATTATGCATAGGTATCTTTTGCGGATTGGGCCATCCAATTTTACGTAAAATCCAATATGGGATGGGATGATCTTAACAAATGAATGTAGAAGCAATAAGCATAAAGCTACCATATCTAGGCTGCAAAAAAAATCAGGGCATCTGTGAGATCAATGCTTCTCAATCTTGGCAATTTGAAGATGTGTGGGCTTCAATTCCCAGAATTCTCCAGCTAGCACGGCTGGCTGGGGAATTCTGGGAGTTGAAGTCCACACATTTTCAAATTGCAAGGTTGAGAACGCAAGGTTGAGTTAGATGACAGCAAAGAGTTAGCATGACTAGCAAAGAGTTAGCAGTTTCACTGCCACCTAAAGTTTACCTAGATTTTTGCAGTCCAAATAAGACCTTTTGATGCCATTCTTCTATTACAGTCCAAAGCAATTATGTTATTTCCATAATATGGAACGAGGAGCCTTGGTGGTGCAGCGGACTAAAGTGCTGTTAAGTAGCACTTAGCTGCCAGCTGCCTGCAATTACTGTGAGTTCAAATCTCACCAGGCTCAAGGTTGACTCAGCCTTCCATCCTTCCGAGGTAGGTAAAATGAGGACCCGGATTGTGGGGGCAATAAGCTGACTTTGTATAAAAAAGAACACCGCTTAGGGGGGCCCGAAAGCCCTACTAAGCAGGTATATACAAAAGTATGAAGGCTATTGCTTAACGCATTGTAAGCCGCCCTGAGTCTCCGGAGAAGGGCAGCATATAAATCCAATCAATCAATCAATCAATCAATCAATCAATCACCTGATCTGCTTTTCAAATGACTCATTTTACTTATCAACAGAACTGGCATGTGACAAAGCCTGTAAGTTGCATAAAAGTCTTCCATGAATGGGTTCGTACATTAGGGCACTGATGGTGAACATTTTCGGCAGTTATGCGGAAACATCATGCGCACGCACTCGTTCGTCGGGGTTGCACTCCGGAAAAGCCAAACTTCCGGGTTCTAGCACGCATGCACACCCCACGATCAGCTGGCCAGTATGTATACGCAGGCCGGTTTTCAGCACTGCCACGCATGTGAAGGGATTGTGCTCCGGAAAAGCCGAACATCTGGGTTCTGGCACGCATGCGCATCTGACAATCAGCTGGCTGGCGCGCATGAGCACACAACTGTTTCAGCACTGCCGCATATGCGCAAAGGACAGCTGATCGTCGTGCGTGCATGTGCGCCAGAAACCCAGAAGACAAACAGGTAAGGCCGTGCGTGCCACTTTGGGCACGCGTGTCATAGGTTCGCCATCACGGCATTAGGGCGATTCAGACTAGCACCCTGTATAATCTGAACAATTGTGTTTTATTCCCTAAAGCAGGAATGTCCAACCTTGGCAACATTAAGACTTATGGCAGAATTCCCCAATCAATATGGATACTCCATAACCTGCCCTAAAGCAAGTTAAACAGACTTAGCATAATGTGTGAACTAGATTTTCTCACTTAAAAAAATAATAATCCCAGACAATCAACCAATTCTGAATTTATCAAACTGCTGGATTTCAAAAGATGGCAGGCTGTTGTGGCCCGTCAGCGCCCTGTGCAGCTAGTAGCTGATTCCGACAGTGAGGAGGCTGATGTGGTGCTGCGCCAGCAGCCTGTGCAGCTCGCACTTGAGTCGGACAATGAGGAGGCTGGAGAAGATGTGGTGCCAGAGGCGGGGATTCAGCCAGGGCCTTCAGAACCTCCCATAAGTGAAGAGGACGAAGAGGAGGAGTCTCTTCTTGATGCACGGGCGCGCAGAGCTGCCAAAAGGCAGGAGTGGCTCCTCAGGAGGAGGTCTCCTCAAGAGTAAGGCTTGGGGCTAATTGGCCACTCCCTTAGCCTATTTAAGGAAGAACACCGACTGAAGCAATTTGCAGGGAACAACTTCGTTCACTCTCCTTCGCGTCCTGATCTTAGTTCTCTTATCAGGTTCCCGCAAATTGCTTCTGGGCTTTCTGCCAACTGTAGTAAGATTACGATTATTTATTCTTTGGATTCTTGTAGGCTGTTAAGAAAATTAATTAACAGCCTTTATTTGAAAAAGACTGATTTAATTTAGTAAACTAAGGTTTGTACAGACTTTGTGTGTCCTGTGTTCTTTGGGGTCCGTAGCTGGGGCAGAACACAGGCAAAAAACAAGCCACATCACGCATTAGCGGGGATGTGAACCTAGATGGCCCACACATCGTGCTAAACTATGAAGATTAAATCATGGGTTGCTTGCCTTGGCTTGCAGATCACATCAAGCTAAAAGCAAAGGCCAGGGGGAGGTTTAGTAGCAAGGGGTGTGCCTTGAACCTTTTTAATAGGAACACATCAGCTCATGAGTTAAACAGTTTCACACCTTTGGGGCAGCTGATACAGTCATGCTCCGGGCCCTCTGTGGATCTTCTGTGGGCAGAGATGGACCACTCTGAGCCCCACCTGGAGAGTCTGCTTCTCGTTTTTCCTTGCGACGTTGCAAAGTGTTTACCATTGGCTGGTCGTAAGGACCAGGCTTAGCCCAATCCTAGGAAAAAAACTCCATTAGTCAAAGATTATACAGATTTCTCTCTCTGTGTGTGTAATATGCAAACAGTAGAACCAAAACCCTCTTACAAAATACACCCAATATACAGTAGTGGCCAAAATTGTGGAAACCTTTTGGGAAAAGTGTATTTTTGAGGTTTGATGGCTAATAACACCACTTTTTTTTTTTTTTTTTTTTTTGAGTTTCAAGATAATCATATTCCGCTGCTGGGATGGCCTGGGAATAGCCAAGATTTTAACCCAATTGAAAATCTATGGAGCCGACTAAAGAAACTTGTTAGTCAGAAGCGACCCAGCAATAAAACCCAGTTAATAGAAGTAATCATTCAATCTTGGTTTCACATTATAACAGCTGCAGAACTAAAAGACTGGGTTCGCTCCATGGGAAGACGTTGTAAGGCCGTAATTCGTGCTAAAGGTTGCCCAACTAAGGATTAACTGACTTGATAATTTTTGTATATCTCGTTTTTTTCTACGTGTTTCACTTTTCTTTTTTATACTGTAACTGCTATTCTAATAGCAAATCCTCCATAAAAGTTATTGCATTACATTCTTGATTAAATTATCTTTCCATGGATATATAATTTTATGGTACTACTCCCCCCCCAAAAAAGTGGTGTTATTAACTAGTTTTAGAAAAAACACTTTTCCCAAAAGGTTTCCACAATTTTGGCCACTACTGTAACCCAGATAATGGAGCCCCTTCCCCTTTCCCGAGACCCACTGACGAGTTTAAATTCGAGTGAGATGAATATATTTGCACATTTCTCAAGGGTTATGCTTAGCATTTCACCTGTACAGGTAGTCCTCGACTTACGACCACAGTTGCGCTCAACATTTCTGTTGCTAAGTGAGATAGTTGTTAAGTGAGTTTTGCCTCATTTTTACGACTCTTCTTGCCACAGTTGTTAAGTGAATCACTGCAGCTTTTTTTTTAGTTAATAACAGTTGTTAAAGGAATCTGGTTTTCCCCACTGACTTAAAAGTCCACAAAAAATGATCACATGACCCCGGGATACTGCAACAGTCATACGTGTGAAAAAATGGTCGTAAGTCACTTTTTTTAGTGCCCTTGTAATTCTGAGCGTTCACTAAATGAACTGTTGTAAGTCGAGGACTATCCATACTATAGAAACAGCAGTGGAAGGGAAATGGGTCTGTTACGGTGATCCCAACATCACCCTCCATCACCACTGGCCATGCAAGATTGGGTGAATGTGAGATAATCTTCAACAACATGTAGCCTAAAATACATTTAGGAGGCTAAAAACTAATCTCGAGACAAGTAGGTCTCTTAGTTTGCTCTATTCCCTTCTTCTTCTTCAGGTCTAGTTTCCCAGATGTTTAAAATAGGAACTGCTATGTAATATGACAGAGAATTTACCCTCATCCCACTCCATTCAAGCACTGATGATGTTACCTAGGTGGGTAATGAAACGTCTACAAGAAAACAACTAAGCTCAGAGAGCACCAAGGACCCTTCATTTCAACCCTGAGCTATAAATATTCTCTTCTATTAGAATACTGTCTTTATCAGGCAGTGTTACAAGTAAAATATTTTGGACCACTGAAACGTGAATGTGTTGGGGATTTCTGTGAATAGCTATCTCTGACCTATTAATACAAGTTTGCCACTGACAAGTATCTGTTTAACATGCTAAGGAAAAAGCAAGGGACGAAAAGGCTGACAAGCAAATACTCATTCTTAGACCTATTGTCTATTTTGGTCTGGCCATCAATTAGCAAAGATCAGACTCCATGAATCAAACCTACAACTATCTTGAAACCTGCCATCATCCAAGACAAATTAAACTGTGTATACATAAATGGTGTATAGCAGGGGTGTCAAACTGGATTTCATTGAGGGCCGCATCAGGGTTGTGTTTTGACTGCGGGGGTGGGGGGGTGGGGGTGGGGGCGGAGTGGGCGTGGCCAGCTCGACATCACTCGTGTCGGGGGCACCTGTGGTGGCCCGAGCACTCTGCCAACCCTCTGCCAGTGAAAATGGAGCTCGGGAAGGCTGCCCATGGCCCTCGCAAGCTCCGTTTTCGACTGAGACAGCCTGCTGCAACCCTCTGCCCCCAAAAACGGAGCTCAGGAGGCTGCCTGCGGCTCTCATGAGCTCCATTTTCACTGGCAGAGGCACCACGGGCCGGTCTTTTGCTGTTTCCAGGCCAGATCTAAGCACCCCGCGGGCCAGATACGGCCCCCGGACCTTGAGTTTGACACCCTTGGTGTATAGGAAGCTTTTAAAAAGTGTTTTGTCAGTGAATCTTTACACTATTTAGGTGGAGGGATTTTAAATTCAAAAGTGCAACAAGTTTCATTTAGTGAATATCTGATGGCCACTTTCAGGGCAGGTTTGAACCTGGAAGCAAATGTCCATATTTACAACTTGTCTTTTTGGAGAGGATTGCCTTGATGTAAAAACTGTTTCCCCCTTTAAAATAAACAGAATAGAAGGGATGGAAGGGATCTTTGAGGTCTTCTAGCCCAACCCCTTGCTCAAGCAGGAGACCCTGTACCATTTCAGTCAAAGGGTTATCCAATCTCTTCTTAAACACGTCCAATGTAGGAACACTTGCAACTTCTGGAGGCAAGGCATTCCATTGTTCTAACTGTCAGGAAATTTCTCCTTAGTTTTAGGTTGCTTCTCTCCTTAATTAATTTCCAACCATTGCTTCCTGTCTTGCCTTCAGGTGCTCTGGAGTATAGGTTGGCCCCCTCTTCTTTGTAAGAGCCCCTCAAATATTGTAACACTGCTATCATGTCACTCATAGGCCTTCTTTTCATTAAACTAGAAATATATCCAATTCCTGTAACCACTGGTTTCTAGTTCTCCGTTTCTTCATATTTCAGAGAAAGGTAAACATCTACGCATGCATCTGTTGTAACTATCACAACATACAACTGCTTTGGGATCACAACCGGATCCAGACTCCTGGGCCAGGTGGAGAAGGATATTATACCCAAAGCTTATGTTCTTTATGGAGCTGTCTTTCCAAACTTAAGTTTTCTCCAGGGGTGTCCAAATTAGAGATGCGTGAAATGTTAGGTCAAAGTGTCTCAGCCCGGAATTATCTCCATCTTGACCTTATCAAGTGACGTGACTTCAAAAGAAGTTACTCCAATTAATTTCGGAGTCAGACGAATCCATTCCAGGCTCAGAAGGTTTTGACCTCAAAAACAGTTTGCAGTCTTTTAGTGGGGACTACATATAATATAATAACAGAGTTGGAAAGGACCTTGGAGGTCTTCTAGTCCAACCCCCTGCTTAGGCAGGAAACCCTACACCACATTTTCCAGAATTCCTAAGCTACTTGGCCAACCTGGAAGCTAAAGTCCCAATATTCCTTGAAAATGTCGCTCCAGGGTCTCCACAGCAATTCCCTCTGTAATTTCTACTCCAAAGAAACATGTTGTTTTTCCTCATGCTTTCTCAAAACTCTAATACAAAAGTAACTTATAATGGCCAGTTTTTCATGACATTTGATACCAGCAAGAAGATGTTCTGAATGTGATCCCATGAAGAGTGAGATTTGGCAATTAAAAAAAAACAACTCTGCACCCACAGTAATAACCTAAACATCTCCAGGAATGAGAAACCATGAACAAGTTTTCAGCAGGGCTTAGAAAGGATTTTACTAACGGGATCCCTGCTGAAAGAAAAGAACATAAGATTGTGCTTTATAGTATCCGTAACCCACACAGATAGTTAAGGCACCAGGCTAGAAAATGGGAGATGGTGAGTTCTAGTCCCGCCTTAGACATGAAAGCCAGTTGGGCGATTATGGGCCAGCCACTCTTTCTCAGCCCAAGCCACTTCATAGGATTGTTGTGAGGAAACCTTGTTATTTGTAAAATTAATAAAGGTAGGATACAAAATAAATACATTATTCATTAAACTATATGTATTTCCCATCTGCCAATACCAACTGCTACTTTAGATACAATCTGAAAAGTCAAAGAGTTGCATAGATTACAAACCAGGGACCACCCCCCTCCCCCAAACTTGGCAATGTTAAAAGACTTGTGGACTTCAATTCCCAGAATTCCCCAATCCCTGGCGAATTCTGCGAATTGAACTCCACAAGTCTTTTAACGTCGTCAAAGTTTGGAGACCGTGGATTCCAAAAGAAATATAGCACTTTTTTAAAAAAAATAATAATAATCAATTCTTGGTAAAGCAGGATGGAGAATTCCACCACCAGAGCAGGAACTCAGAATGGGAGAAGAGAGCTGAAGGGATTTAAGTTAAGAACCGAGAAGCAATTTCTTGCAAGGGGTGAGGGTGAAGGATGACAAGGAGAGACGCTAACAGGAACGAAAAGTAACACAAACCTTCCAACTAGGAATCTGAGGTGATGGTAACATGCCTGGCCCAATGGTGTAATAATGAACGTAGTCTGGAAGGAGGGTGGAGGAGGTGGCTCGGGTCCATGCGTGAGAGACAGACGGAATATGAGGGAAAGAACCCACACCAACCGGGGCTAAAGATGAGCCACTGGGTAAACTACAGTGATAATACCCATTAGACAACTGGAAACAAACAAAAAGAACAATAAAAAAAAGGGGGGAAAAAAGGAGAGAAATTAATATAAATAGGTCCAAATATGGGGAAGTACAAAGTGAAACAGGCATGCATCGCTGGGAGAAAGGAAGGGGAATGCTTCCAATGGCTTCTAATCCCCTTTGGCTACTCCACACCCGTAACCCGGTGCTTGTTCATGCTTTGTTAACGACATTCAACTAGGCCACCATGTTCTGGAAGAGAAAACCAGAACAAGAACAAACAAGATCATTTTCGGGAGCTGAATTGTTGGGACAAAGTTACGCCTCAGAGGCACAAGTGCTTCATAGGTCGGTGTGAGGAGACACCTGGCAGTAAAAGGCTGTGGTCTTTTGCAGGTGAGAACCTCCTCAAGAGCTTCATTCCACAAGAAGTTGGAAGAACTTCTCTGGTCATGCTCTTCCTGGGCTTGATAGCTCTGGATATCTACGTATTTCATTTCTTGCAGTAGAGCTCAGCTTCAGAAAATGACTCGTTTGCGGACAAAACGAAACAAAACAAAGAAACAATGATAGGAGGAATGGAAGAGGAAATTGCTCGTGAGAATGGATCACACCAGTCCCCTCCCTCACTCTGATCTCTAGGATGCTGGGCAGATATATGTACCCCGGCCAAAAAGATCTGGCTTTTCCAGGGGAATTTGGAAAAATTGGACAATGGAATTTATATTCTGAGATGGAGAAAGTCTATTCTCTCCAGATTTGGTCTCCCTCTTTAGAAAAAGTAGATTTTTCTTACTGTTTTATTTCTCAAAGGTGGATTTGTGGACAGAAAGCTGCTCATAAAAACATCCCTAACAGATGTCTTTTCAAGTGCCCTGGAAAATGTCGTTTCTGTCTCCCAAGCCTTAATTGTGTTTGCTTCAGGACATGGCTGGCACTACAGGTAGTCCTTAACTTATGACCACAAAATTTATGTTGCGAAGTGAGAAAATTGTTAAGTGAGTTTTGCCCCATTTTAAACTTTTCTTGCCACATTTGTTAAGTGAATCAGTGCGGTTATTAAATTAGTAACACGGTTGCTAAGTGGCTTTCCCATTGACTTTGCTTGTCAGAAGATCGCAAAAGGGGATCATCACATGACTCCGGGGCACGGCAACCGTCATAAATGTGAGTCAGTCGTCAAGCATATGAATGTAAATCACGTGACCATGGGGAATGCTTGACAATGGTTTTAAGTGTGAAAAATGATCATATGTTACTTTTTCCGGTGCAGTTGTAACTTTGGTCACTAAGCGAACTGTTATAAGTCAAGGACTACCTGTACTGGCTTTTTAACCACTAGGGGCAACTTCTCTGGCAAAGCTTAATTAAAAGCCAACATCAACAACCAGCTTTTACCACAGCTTCATTCTTGAGTCCTCTCACTTCAACCCTTTTTCTAGGGCAGTGTTTCTCAACCTTGGTAGCTTGAAGATGGGTGGACTTCAACTCCCAGAATCCCCCAGCCAGCAGCAAAATATATATAATATATATATTTTCCTCCTGCATATTACAGAGCCAAAATCACAAGTCTTCAAGATTTAAGTCTTTTTTCACCTTTTCTGTGGAGGCCCAAGCCGCCATGGTGGAGCCTGAACTGACAGAGGTGGGGGAGCTGCACTCACTCACTGACTGGCAGGTCTCAGAGGCTTCAGAAGAGGCCGAGCTGGACGAATTCTGCTGGGGTTCCAAAAAAAAAAAAAAAAAAAGGCACCACGAAGAGGAAGAAAAGGGAAGAAAGACAAGCCAATGAAACAAAACAAAACAAAACAAAAGCAAAGGACAAATACATACAGAGAAGAAGAAAAGCAGAGTGTTAGGAGTTAAACGGGAGGGGGGAAAAAAATCTTAAGCATTAAAACACAATTATAAGTTTTTTAAAGAGTGCAGAGGGACCAAAGCAATGGGTTCTACAAGGTAAATTCTTCGCAGCATAGCCGATCAAAACTTAATGAGCTTCCCAAAGGGCCGGAGGACAAGTTAGATGTCCTGGCTGCCAAGATTTGGGACTCGCCATCTTGATACAACTGAAAGGCATCAACGTTGGCGAACGTGCCCTTTAATTTCAAACGAAATCGTAAACAAAAACATGCAAGGTTTGAGTATCTCCACCCTGCCTTCCTGCTGAAGGGAGTAAGCAGGATGCTGCCCTTCCTTCCATTGATCAATCTTCTACAGGTGAGACTCCCTGCTCTTTCTTCAACAGCACACCTTTTTCTAGACCACAGCATGGTTCCTTGTCACCGTGGAAATGAGCAAGGAGCAGGCCAGTTACACCCATGGAACAAGGTTCAAGCAACTCTTTGGCACAAAAACTGACATAATTGCAGAGTGTGTAGGCTTTTCCAAATATAAGGTGGGCATCGTTTATTCCAAGGGTACCATTCAAGATAGGGGCTGAGCTTGTACAGCAGGAGAACACGGCTCTGACCAGGCTGAAGGTTGCCTTTAGCTTTGAAGATCTACGCTGGGCAGAACCGTAACAAGGAAGCAGGACAAGGTCAAGACTAACCCTACATCAATTTACGTGATAATGACTAGTCTTGAAAGAGGCTGAGGGGAGAAGTACCGGGGTAGTGTAAGACAAACCTACCAATCAACATTTCCATTTCTGAAAAATCTTACTATTCACTCAGAACACTTCTTAAAGTCCGCTCAGGAGTACACCAGATCAGGGGTCTCCAAGCTTGGCCACTTTAAGACTTGTGGTCTTCAACTCCCAGAATTCCCCAGCTATGCTATGTTGGCTGGGGGATTCTGGGAACTGAAGTCCACAAGTGACCAAGGTTGGAGACCCCTGCACCAGATTACTCTACAAATGACTCTTGAAGGATGCATCCAACACCTGATCAAGCCATCTCCAAATAAAATTTTTCTTCAAGTTTTCAGTTCAATTCCTGTTGGTCACATGCAACTTCCATATTGTTTTTTTTAGTAACTATATACAAGGAGATTGCCAATTGTCTTGATCTTGGATTTTTTTTTTTTTTTTTTTTTTTGAAATTTACCAATCTAACCTTCAACATTTGGACTTCCTAAAGGCTTCCCATTCAAGCACTAAGTCAGAACTTGCTTAGATTTCAAATGCAATAACCTTCTGGGAAGGCGCCTTATACACTCCTTCCCATTTTGAAAGATAAGCAGGTGAACCTGAGAATTCTAGGATATGGAAAGCCTGTAGCTAAAGTCCTGGCAAGTAGCTACAGCTCAGCTCATGGACTATCCTGTTTATTATGGAGAGGACAAATCACAGGATCCTATTTGTGCTTATTTATATCTAGAAGGGAGGGAGGGAGGGAAGGAGGGAGGAAGGACGATGGAATGGGATGGGAGGGAGGGAAGGAAGGAAGATGGAATGGGATGGGGTGGGATGAAGGAAGGAAAGGAAAGGAAGAAAGGAAGATGGAATGGGATGGGATGAAGGAAGGAAAGGAAAGGAAGGAAGGAAGATGGAATGGGATAGGAGGGAGGGAAGGAAGGAAGATGGAATGGGATGAAGGAAGGAAGGAAGGAAGGAAGGAAGGAAGGAAGGAAGAAAGGAAGGAAGGAAGAAAGGAAGATGGAATGGGATGGGAGGGAGAGAGGGAGGAACGGAGGGAAGGAAGGAAGATGGGGTGGGGTGGAAGGAAAGAAGGAAAGAAGGAAGGAAGGAAGGAAGGAAGGAAGGAAGGAAGGAAGGAAGGAAGGAAAGAAAGAAAGAAGGAAGGAAATAATATATAGTACTACTCACCTATACAGACTTCAACTACGGAAGAACAGAGGAAGGAAATTCTCACCTGGCCTTCTTTTCCCATACAAGCATTTTCATTTTATACAAATATACTAACTGACAGAAACGCTTATTTCTCTTTGAGTCAACCACCTTACAGTCTAAACAACACTCAAAAGTGCTCAATAAGATGGGATAATTTTGAAATGTAACATGAAAACCCCCTCTTCTTCCACTCTTTGGAAGAGCTGCGAGACCTGTTGAATGCATTCTTTTGTCCCTCAGCAACAGAGAACGAGACATTAAAAATACATAAAAAGCATCCTAAAGGGAGGCGGGTGGGAGGCAGTTTTCACCGCAGTGTTTCTGTTAAGAGACAATATTTGGCTTTCAAATACAACATATGGCATTGTACGACTATTTCTTTGTCACACTCAGCCCTTAATACACAAACTGCAAAGTTACGGCTTGTCAGTTGGTTATAACACAAATTGCGCACAATGAACAGCTTTCGGGGAAATCTGTCAACCAAGTTAGTTGGCACCGTCTACCTAACAGGACTTCAAACACAATTGCCGTACTAAAGGAGGGAAAATATACTTTTGTTTGCATGCTTAAATTATGCTGACAATCTCTATAAAGTTTTTTTTTTTTTTAAAGGTGACGTGCATGGACTATGTTTATCAATTAAAATACGGCATGTAACTGCCAGAACCAGATAGGCCTTAGTTTCAGTATATATGCATCTACTGTAAGTGAAGTTAGACTCAATAAACCATTTACTACAGTTACTCGCTGTTAATAATTTTCCTATTCTATTGAAGCAAAATTTCTCTTTCATGGATGTTTTTAAGGACCAAGATTTCAAGGCTGAAATTTCAGAGATTACACGTAGCATTAAAGGCAAGCTTGGCCGATAAGAAGCTGTTGTTTTCAGAGGGCTGAAGGAGGAAAACAGAGTCTCTGCAGTGACACAAAACCCTTTGGATATATGCATCATGTTGTCTCTCACACGCACATCCAAAAGGGATGGGTGTTGGTTTCGAACACAGCTTTTGTCAACCTCTTGCAAATGATCATGGCTGCAGCTCGTACATTTCTGAACAACGGTATTTCTCAATATCCTCTATCAGGTAGTCCTCAACCTACGACCACTGCCGAGCCCAAGGTTTGTGTCGCTAAAGCGAGACAGTTGTTAAGTGACTTTTGCCCACTTCATGACTTTCCTTGCCACAGTCACTAAGTGAATCACTGCAGCTGCTTAAGTTAGTAACACGGTTGTTAAGTGAATCTGGCTTCCCCGTTGACTTTGCTTGTCAGAAAGTTGCAAAAGGTGCGATCACGTGACTCCGGGAAGCTACAACCGTCATAAATATGAGTCAGTTGCCGAGCATCCGAATTTTGATCCTGTGACCGTGGGGATGCTGCAAAGTGTCATGTGAAAAATGGTCATAAGTCACTTTTTTTAGTTGCATTGAACTGTTAAATGAACTGTTGTAAGTTGAGGATTACCTGTATAACCGTATAACTCATACTGAGCTATAAATCCATGTACCTTTGTCTATGGTGGCTAGGACTGCTATAGTTCATTCACATGCCACAGGTTGTGTCAGAGTATGAATATTCATAGACTGGAATAGATCAGCCAATGGGGACTGAATGGAGACATGGCAACAAGGCCAGCCAATGAATAGGCATGGTAACAGGCTCAGCCAATGAAGGCTGTTTAGAAACAGAAACTTAAGCTAGAAGTCTGGGCGTGGCTTAGGCAACTGAGTCTGTGCAGAAGCTTAATTGCCCTGTATAGAGGAGGCTCTCTTTGTATTAAGCTCTGTGCTCAGCTCTGAAATGAAACAAGCCTGGGCTTGTCTGCTCTGCTGAAATGAAACTAACTGTTCTCTCCTGCCTTGTGTTTTGCTTGTAAGTGCTACTACGTTGAAAAAGAATCTGTATTGGTATTGTACATTTATCTTCATGTGTTATTATGTATATAAAGAAGTTAATGAATCCTGCTGCATCAATCTGCCTGTGTGTGCTTTCTGGATTTAATTTCTGCAACAAACTCTGACAGGTTGTTCAATCCTCCCTATAGCAATTAAGCTGGCTTCAGACACAGCCGACATACTAACGTAATGTTAATTCTTGAAATCAGGGATCTTGGATTAAGACAATTTATAAGAATTTGGGTGTGATATGAAATCTAAGTTTGAGTGTGTTTTGCCCCAAGAATGACAGAGAACACACTAGGAAATCTTGACTAGCAGCTACCACTCATCCTGAATCTTCTATTCTACTTGCTTGCATATCCAATTTTGCTACCTCAATCCTCAACGTATTACAAAATGTGATATGTTAAAAAGACATAAAAGGGCTCTCTATTTTTAAGAGCCGTGGTGGCGCAGTGGTTAGAACGCAGTACTGCAGGCTACTTCTGCTGACTGCTGGCTGCCTGCAATTTGGCAGTTCGAATCTCACCAGGCTCAAAGTTGACTTAGCCTTCCATCCTTCCGAGGTGGGTAAAACAAGGATCCAGATTGTTGGGGGCAAGATGCTGACTCTGTAAACCTCTTAGAGAAGGCTGTAAAGCACTGTGAAGTGGTATATAAGTCTTATTGCTATTGGTGAGACAGATTTCCTACAGGAGACAAGCCATCTTCTAGGCTTCTCTTTATCAAAGACAAGCTAATTTCAGCTACGCCTCCTAAGCTGTTGGAGGGTATTAGGCTATTCAAGACTTTTCTAAGCCAAACTTAAGATACAAGTCAACAAGAATGCAGAATGCAGCAGACAGATAACCAACTAACTTTGGCTAGAGGACCTCCTGGGGTTCTTCAAAGCTACCCTTCCTTTCTCCCACAGCGTTACCAGATAAGTCATCACCATCATACCGCGCGAGTTCAAGACATACCTGGTTGGGGGCTTCGGGCGGCATCGGGGACGGTGACTTGGATTGAAAAGCGTCCTGGGACATGAATCCAGAATCGTGCGAGGAGACACTGGAGAGCCTCATTGGTGCCTGCTGAGGCAGATTGGAGCTGCGGTAGCGATAGTGTGAACTGGGTGAGTGAGAATGCGAGCCACTTGACCGGGAGTCACTACTGTTTACACTGTTCAGACTGCTGTGAGATACAAAGGAAGAGAATGGGGGCAAGGGGGAGGGGCGGGGGAAGAGGAGGAGGAACGAAACAAAACAAAAAGAAAGGGGTAGGTAGGGAGAAACCGGCACAATACAATTAACGTCCCATGGATCCCCGGCAAGGCATGCACAAATCATAAAATGGTGAAACCGGAAGTAGTAGTTTTAAGCCATAGATTTGCTGCAGTATCCTTAGTAACTAGACAGAAAATGGCACATTAAGGGAGTGATGCTCAAATTCTAATCTATAACCGGACGTAAAAAAATAATCCTATGCTGGTTGCATGGGGTGTTTCAGAATTTCTTCCAGGAGAATACTGTGTTTCCCCGAAAATAAGACCCTGTCTTATATATTTTTTCCACCAAAAAAGGCCCCATGTCTTATTTTGGGGGAGGGGTGTGGGGGGGAAGAAGAGAGATGTCATCCACTGATCACTTCACTTGTGCATGTCATCCCCGGCCTTTTTTTCGCTATCAGAGGCCTTCAGGAACTTCTTCATCCGGCAAGGTCAGCAAGGCTTTCCTGAAGGCCGCTGCAGCCAATAACAAGAGCTCCAGATCGATCCGGAGCCTTGTTATAGGCTACAGAGGCCTTCAGGAAAGCCTTGCTGGCTGCAGAAGAAACAGGCCAAGGTAGGGGTGAAATGCTACCGGTTCGCACCGGTTCAGGTGAACTGGTAGCAGAAGCAGCGGGTGGTTCGGTGAACCGGTAGCGGTGGCAGTGCGAGGCTCCACCCACTCACCTGGACGTTAAAACCAGGAAGTAACCTGCTATTGACCCTCTGCGCATATGCAGAGGGTCTAAAATCACATGTGACGTGTGTGCGCACTTCCGAACTGGTAGGGAAGGTAAGTAGATTTCACCCCTGGGCCAAGGTGTGCGAGGCCTGGCTGCAATTATCCCAAGGTAAGTAGTAGGTACTTGAGCTTAATTTTTATCCTTGCACCCTAGAGTGGGCGGGGTCTTAATTAGGGCTTATTTTGGGGGGGTAGGGCTTATATTGGGCTCATGTGTAAAAAAATCAAGCTAGGATTTACTTTCTGAGTAAGTCATATTTTCGGGGGAACACGGTAACTAGAGGTGAAAGGGAAAAACTTTCTTTCTAGCGAACTACAAACCACTGAAATCTGCACATCTTAAAGGTACTAAGGTTTAGGAATACTGCAATACAGGTAGTCCTCGACTTACAACCACAACTGAGCCATAAAATTTCCATTACTAAGCAAGGCACTTGTGAAGTGAGTTTTGCCCCCATTTTACGACCTTTCGTGCCACAGTGGGTAAGTGAATCGCCGCAGCTGTTAAGAGAGTTGCACGGCTGTAAAGTGAACCTGGCTTCCCCATTGACTTTGATTATCAGAAGGTCGCCAAAGGGGGAAATCACATGATCCTGAAACACTGCAACTATCATTGATCTTTGAACTAGTTGCCGAGCGTCTGAATTTTGATCACGTGATCATGGGGTGGGGTGGGGTGCTGTAACAGTCATAACTATCAAACAATCGTAAGTTTTGCTGACTTAATTTTGAATGGTCACTAAATGAACGGTTGTAAGTTGAGGACGACCTGCAGAGCATGGCTATTTGGTTCTTCTTCAAAATATTTCACAGGTAGGTGGAACATTCAATGGGCAGCCCTTCGAGTAAACAATCAACAGGATACTTCTCCTACACAAGTCCCAATAAAATCAGTGTGAACGAGGATTCTACCACAAACTGCTGCTTTCTGTGGGATTTGTGTGGGTGATCAAAAGTCTTTTATTCTCATCTCCTTACTCAGAATCCTCCATTGTCTTCCTGAACTCCTTCCTCTCATCTTCCAGCTTAGCACCAGAACAGACAAACCCCATTTATAGTATAAATTTTAAGCATCCCATCGATGGAATGGGATGATTGATTGTCATGGGCAATTACTGGCAACCCAGTTTATATCTCCCTCAAGGAAGGCCTAGTGTACCACTGATGTAAAACAGGGGTGTCAAACTCAAGGCCCGAGGGCTGCATTTGGCCTATGGGGTTCTTAGATCTGGCACGCGGGGCTGCCCTGGAAACAGCAAAGGACCGGCCTGTGGTGCCCCAGAGCTCCGTTTTCGCTGGCAGAGGGCTGCAGGAGGCTGTCACAGCTGAAAACGGAGCCTCAACAAGTGATGTCGAGCTGGCCACACTCACCATGGCCATGCCTATCTCGGCTACATCCACCTCCCTGCCCCCCCTGAGGTAAAACACAACACTGATAAGGGCCTCAATGAAATTGAGTTTGACACCCCTGCTCTAAAAGGTTTTGGTACCCCCGGGATTCTCTCAACAATTTATTGGCCCAACAATTTGACAACACTCTGATTCCTTGATAAAACTTCAGGGATGTCTGCAAAATTTCCAGGGGGCCATTCTCAAAACCTTGAAGGATCACTCCTGCTTTAATCTTGTTGATTCCAGTACTCTGGAAACACAAGGCAGCTAAGTGAAAATTGTTATGGATTCATTTTAAGGTATAAGAGCAGCCTCTTGGGAGGACCAGTGAAGGAGCAATCTGTCTTATTTGGTCATCGCCAACACCACGCATCTCCTTGCCAACACCGTCTTGTCTACTTTGGCCATAACACTTCCGCTAGACTTAAATGTAAAGTAAAGGTTCCCTCACACATATGTGCTAGTCGTTCCCGACTCTAGGGGGCGGTGCTCATCTCTGTTTCAAAGCCAAAGAGCCAGCGCCATCCGAAGATGTCTCCGTGGTCATGTGGCCGGCATGACTAAACGCCAAAGGCACACGGAACGCTGTTACCTTCCCACCAAAGGTGGTCCCTATTTTTCTACTTGCATTTTTTACATGCTTTCGAACTGCTAGGTTGGCAGAAGCTGGGATAAGTAACAGGAGCTCACCCCGTTAGGCGGCACTAGGGATTCGAACCGCTGAACTGCCGACCTTTCGATCGACAAGCTCAGCGTCGTAGCCACTAAGCCACCGCGTCCCTATTCCACTAGACTTACGGCCTGCCATTTTCCTTTTTACGTTTCAGGATACTGCATTTTTGAAAAAGCCCGTGTTTCCCATCATCAACATAAATATCTATAAATCTCTTGGATATAGATACTATATACAAAGGCATGCACGGACGGCTGGCTTTGCAAGGAAATGCAAATGAACTGCGCTCTCTCTCATGCCACGGATGCTGTACAGCATCTCCCAATCCGTGTGGTTTAGAAAGGCAAACATTTTAAAATAAAGTGATAATAATGTGAGAGCATCGGGGCTAGGGAGAAATGAAAGGGCAGAAAACACAGCAGGAAGTTTTTCCTTTTGCTGGAGAAAAGGAGAAAAGTAAGGTTTCAATACACCTGGGAAGAAGCAAGGAGTTAGGTGTGCATGCGGTCAACTGTTTTAGCCATGAGAAAAACAGTTTTTTGGAGGAGGTTGAAAAGGCATCTCAAAAGTTCCAAGACACACAAACCAAACTAGCAAATTAAAACAGTGCTGAACAGTTCACAGCTATTGCATCTAAACAACAAACAACTTTATCCCAAACCATTTGAGAGACTTTTTGATGCACTCAGATATATTTAATCTGTTACGCGACTAAAGTTCCTTCATAATTAGTTCTTGTTCTTTTATTCCACCTTATTTTATTTTATTCCAATGTTCAAGGTCAGGAAAGCAGCGTAGAGAAGAACAGGCTCTGAATCAGCAATTATAAACAGGTAAACTGACTTGATTAAAAGATACCTTTTAATTTTCTCAAGCCGCTTTTGGTAAAATTCTTTTAAGTACTGGAATCCACAACCTTATGCCTTCTGAATCACTCCAACGTTAGGAGCAAATCAACAGAATTTTAATGAAAATGTTAACCAGATTTGGAGACACCTCGGGATTCCAAAATGTTAAGTAGTAGGGTGTCATGGCCCTATCGGATCTTGGTTTGGAGACAGAGGGGGAGCTGGAACCGGGGCCATCCGACAAGGGTAACACGTCTCCCCTGGAACATCTGGAGAGTCCAAGGGATGAGGACGATGTTGCCCCAGGCTCTTCCAGCATTGGGGGAAGTGGTCGATTGGACAGGGAGCTTCCTACCTTCACAAATGCTTGGGAAGATCAGCTGCAGACAGGCAATGGGGATGAGAGACAACAGATCCCCTCTGGCAAGGAATAGCTGCCTCCCCCACCCGATCCGAGGGCATGGGGAATGGAGCGGAGGGAAGCTCAGAGGTGGTCTGTGAGGCTGCTCATGAGGAGGCTGCCTCACCCCTCCTCATAAGGAACACTTGCCTTGGGCTGATTTAACTAGAAGCCAGAGGAGGGTGCCTTTGTCGGGAACAACTGCTTGTCTCGGAACTCACTCCCCTGACTTTGGAAAACCTTGACTTCTGGACTCCAATTTGCAGACTCTGGAAATCCAAAAGTCTGGATTTGCAGACTCTGAATTGTGTTTTTGCAATCTTTGCACTGGGTTTGTGGACTTCGCCTTTCTTCCTGTTTGGGGGCTTGTTTCTGGTGATTATTGGACTCAGCTGGTGGGACTGTGTTACACTGACTGTGGGTAACTGGTTTTTGGGGGAAAAGCGAGATGGGGGTTTACTAACACCCCTGGAGGGCCGTCTGCCGTGATTTAGCAGTACAATAAAAGACTTTACTGGTGCTCGCATCTACCTACACAACCTGGATCAGGGCATAAGGATTGCAATGTTGGAAGCCCAACTAAATTCAATGCCACAAATGAATAATGGGAAAGTTGACAAAACTCAGCAGAAATGATGGCTCGATCAGTTCCAAAATGATCACTTCAGACTTGCTGAATTGTTCTAAGTTCAAATCCAAATACACTAAAAAGTTTAAACAGGGCTCCTCAATGAAACAGGATTATTTCATTTTATTTACTGCATTTTATCCTGTTTTTCCACCGCCCTCTGGTTGCTGAAAGAGATGTACATGGGGTTGACTCTTAATTAAATTCCCATACACTTGAAGTTTATTTCTTCATTCGTTCATTAAATTTATACGTTGTCTATCTTCCCGATAAGCAAAGCTGGGTGGTTGAGACGGCGACAGACACGCAATGAGTTCCATTAAGAACAGATGTGAGGTTGGGTTTTCCTGGCCCAAATTCAAAATCTTAAAACACAATGTGCCAAACTTACCTGCACACGCTGGATTTTCTGGACATGGTGGTACTGGGAGAAGAAGGAGGAGTCTGATAGGACCAGCCATAATCGGAACCTTTCAAATCAAGAATTACCTGGGGAAAAAAGGAAAAATCACCATGAAAAATCAAGGATGGCTTTAAAAGGCTGGTTCGGGTACTTCTAACTCAGGGATTCCCAACACCCAGTCTGGGAACCAGCACCGGTTCGTGACATGCCATGGCTGCTGTTCTAATTGGATCCAAAAATTATCCTAGCGTATTTCACTAGTGTCTCAAAAAACATTCTTAAAAGGTAAGAGTTGTATTATGACATTAAGCCCTCTTAATCTGGAATTGTGACTATTATCACTGACTTTACGTCAGTGTTTCGCAACCTTGGCAGTTTGAAGATGTGTGGATTTCGTGTTCCCAAATTCAAGGCTGGCTAGAAAATTCTGGGAATAAAGAATAAAAGAATAACAGAGTTGGAAGGGACCTTGGAGGTCTTCTAGTCCAACCCCCTGCCCAGGCAGGAAACCCTACACCACTTCAGACAAATGGTTATCCGATCTCTTCTTAAAAACTTCCAGTGTTTACAACTTCTGAAGGCAAGTTGTTCTACTGATTAATTGTTCTAATTGTCAGAAAATTCCTCTTTAGTTCTAGGCTGCTTCTCTCCTTGATTAGTTTCCACCCATTGCTTCTTGTCCTGCCTTCAGGTGCTTTGGAGAATAGCTTGACTCCCTCTTCTTTGTGGCAGCCCCTGAAATATTAGAACACTGCTGTCATGTCACCTCTAGTCCTTCTTTTCATTAAACTAGACATACCCGGTTCCTGCAACTGTTCTTCATATGTTTTAGCCTCCAGTCCCCTAATAATCTTTATTGCTCTTCTCTGAACTCTTTCTAGAGTCTCCACATCTATTTTAAAATCTCCATTCCCACCCCACTCCAGGAGAAGGTTACTGCAAAATACCCGTTTCCTCCCGATCACTGGGACTTGGGAGGCAGAGAATAGATGGGGGCAGGGCCAGTCAAAATTTTTACTACCGGTTCTCCAAACCACTCAAAATTTCCGCTACCGGTTCTCCTGAACTGGTCAGAACCTGCTGAAACCCACCTCTGGCTGAGAGTTGTGTGAGTGGCCCAAAATCACTCAGTTGGCTTTGTGCCGAAGGTGGGACTAGAACTCACTTTCTCTCGGTTTCTAGCCTGATTCCTTAACCATTGCATCAAACTGGCTCTCTTGCATGTTATATGAATCCTATAAGACAACTCTACTTCAAAACCGATGTACTGCATTAAAAAAACCCTGCTCCAATACTCCAGTTCTTCTTACAAAAATCAAACAATGTAATTGTCTCTGAGGAGACACCGACTGAGATTTTTGTTTCTGCCTAATCCCCCAGATTAATGAAAAGAGGCTACAGGTTATCCTTGATTTACAACTGCAATTGAGCCCAAAATTCCCGTTACTAAGCAAGAACAGTTGTTAATTTACAATATCTTACAACTTTGTTTGCCACAGTTAAGTGAATTACTGCAGATATAAGTTAATAACACAGGAGTTAAGAGAATCTGGCTTCCCCGTTTGCTTGTCAGGATGTCGCAAAAGGTGATCACATGACCCTGGGACAGTGCAATGGTCATAAATACATGCCAGTTGCCAAGTGTCTGAATTTTGATCATGTGACCATGGGGAACGCGGCAACAGTTGTAACTTTGGAAACTGATAATGTCACTTTTTTTTTCAATACCATTGTAACTTTTCAAGGTCACTAAACGAATGGTTGTAAGTCGAGGACTGCCTTACTATTTTTGAGTCACGCGTCCCAATAAACAAGTATACCTGTTCACTTGATGATGGCAGCTTGTGTGGGTCCATGGTGAGGCTTTTCAAATCTTCTGATATGGTCTGTAGATGAGTTATTTCTCCCAGCATTGATATTTCTTCTTCCTGGAAGATTTTTAATAGAGAATCTGTTATTGCTCATGAGTACTCAGTTTTATTGTGTATTCAGTTCTGGGTATTCAGAGGACAATCTTAGCACAACGTGGAAATACAGTATGGCAGATCTATATTTCTTCAGTACTTTATTCTCACGACACTCATTAAAACAAGCTAACAGGAGTTGGAAAACCTCCTTATCTACCTCTAAGTATGAATTTGGGGAGGGACATTTCCCAAATTCATGATTTGGGGAAGGCAGAAGGATGCAAGAGGTAACTTCATTTACATATAAAGGTAAAGGTTTCCCCTGTCTGATTCTAGAAGGCGGTGCTCATCTCCATTTCCTAGCCGAAGAAGCCAGCATTGTCCAAAGACACTTCCGTGATCATGTAGCCAGCTTGACTATACTTCCCACTGAAGTGGGTACCTAATTATCTACTTGCATTTGCATGCTTTCGAACTGCTAGGTTGGCAGGAACTGGGGCAAGGATGGGAACTCCATCGCACGGCACTCGGGTCTCGAACCCGGGCTGTCAGCTTTCCAGGTCACAAGCTCAGCATCTTTAACTGCTGAGCCATTGCGCCCCTCTTTTTATTTACATATAGTAACGTATACAGATAGATCATAAAGCAATCTGGAAGTTCTGAATGGGAAGGTGATCGACAGATGCTTGCATAGTCACGGAGTAGTCCAATAGCACACAGTCTACCCTGTTTCCCCCAAAATAAGACATCCTCTGATAATAAACCCAATCGAGCTTTTGAGTGAATGGCAATAAGGCCAAGCGCTTATTTCAGGGTTCAAAAAAAATATAAGACAGGGTCTTATTTTCAGGGAAACACGGTAGTTACATCTCTTCCTTCTGCAAGATACAAATCCACTATTGAGATCCAGTTTACAAAGAGTCTTTGACAGAATGGATTCATTCACAGAGGAGCTAGCTAAGCAAAGAGAAGAACTAAGTAGCAATTCTCTCATTTCCGCCATGCTCAATAGCAATTCTATTTTCCTATCCCTAATTTCCCAAGACACCCTACACACAAGGTCTCTGTCGTTTCCAACAGAAATTACTTCTTAGTCTGGAAGAGGGGGTAGATGAAAGAGAAATGAAAACGGATTACGAGAATTCGATCCCAGAAGTGTTGACTGTCACCCTATTTACAGTTATCAGTGGCAAGCAACTAATTTAAAAATTTCCCAGCTTTCAAAGTCTCTTGATTATTTGCAATTCTTAACTAGCTACTTTAATACTTTTCATATATTTGTTACCTTGCCTGAGAACATTTAGAATGAAAGGTTTCATAGAAAATATTGAGTAACTAAATCTAAGGGTGTGCAGGGAATTGCAAGGACCAGGTAAATAAAATAAAACTGAAATGGATGAATAGAAGTCTTTTATGTGTCAAACCTTCACTGCATGTCCTTAAATCAATCTGTAAAGGTAGGCCATTATCACCCTCATTCTGCACTGTGCAAGAATCTCACGCACCTCAATTTTTTATCTTATTTTTTATTGTGCAGATCTATATATATTCTATTGAAGTTCCACTGAATTCAAGACGACCATATTCTGAAATAATCTAATATTACTGTCCATCAACCGTCAAAAAAAGAATAAGGCATTTTTGGAACACTGTGACGCTTCCCATCTTGCAAATCATATTCATTGCATCTCGATCACCAAAAATCCAGCCATGTAATTCTTCAGAAGATCCCTGAAATGGCCCATAATATTCTTCAGACAACCCCCTTTCATGGTGTGCATAAAAGAGAGGTTCTACAACAATAGTGATTCTTCAGAATATGGACCACAAAACCCTTTCAAATATTTTATTTATTGAAAGAGTCCATGCAAGTCTTCCATTCTAGCTGTTGGTGTTTATGTCTAAAGCAACATTTACATTCATTATGTCCCATATTAGGGACACGGTGGCTCAGTGGCTAAGTCGCTGAGCTTGTCGATCAAAAGGTTGGCAGTTCAGCGGTTCGAATCCCTAGTGCCATGTAACGGGGTGAGCTCCCATTACTTGTCCCAGTTTCTGCCAACCTAGCAGTTCGAAAGCACATTAAAAATGCAAGTAGAAAAATAGGGACCACCTTTGGTGGGAAGGTAACAGCGTTCCGTGCGCCTTTGGTGTTTAGTCATGCCGGTCACATGACCACGGAGATGTCTTCAGACAGCACTATCTTTTCGGCTTTGTAATGGAGATGAGCACTGCCCCCTAGAGTTGGGAACGACTAGCACATATGTGCAAGGGGAACCTTTACCTTATGTTGCATATTGTTTTATGCGTACTGTCCATCTCATCTTGTCACAGTGCTTTTGCGCATAAGTGCGTACGTGAGGGAAGATTATGGATTATTATGGATATTTAAACATACACGGGAATCAGAAATACAATATGCTACTGTAGAAACACTTCACTCTCTTTCAAAGACAGGAGAACAATAAAAGCGTTGGGAATGGAACTCACAATTACAGGACGCAGCATGGAAATAAATGAACAAAACCGGCCACGTTCTTCAATCAGTGCTTTTCTAACAGCCTGTTTCTCCGTTTCTTCAAGAAGAAGATATTTATCGTTCACATCCTGCAGTGCACTGTCCAGTTGAGGCTGGATGTCGCCTCTCCCTGTTCACAACAGAGGAAAAACAAAAGCTGTTTCAAGCCCAATTTTCAAGAAAGGCCGTGATTATTTTTTTCCAGGCAGCCAAACTCACAACCATAGCAATGTGTGTGTACATATCAAATCAGTGGTGGGTTGCCCCCGGTTCGCACCGGTTCTATAGAACCGGTAGTAAAACTGGCGGGAGGCTCCGCCCAACCCCGACATCATCAGAACACTTCTGCGTATGCGCAGAAGAGCGCGCAGCCCCGTTGTGAACCGGTAGTAAAGGCAAGTAGAATCCACCCCTGTATCAAATGGTTGGGCGATCCCATCAAAGTCAACCAACATAACTTTGTCTAAATCAACAGCAATGTATTTCATCTTTAACTTAAAGCAGGATTCTGTAATGCAACTGTATACACAAAGCATTCTTGTATTTTTATTTCAAGGATGGTACATAGATTTAAGGGGGGGAAAAGATTTAAAAATTGCCTTTCAGGCAAATTTTAAGATTTGTGGACTTTTGTTGGCTGGGGAATTCTGGGAGTTGAAGTTCAACATCTTAAATTTGCTAAGTTTTTGAGAAACACTATCCTAGAACCAATAGTGGATTGCTGCCAGTTCAAGCGAATCAGTAGATGCGGCCCACCTGCCCGGCCGCAATCCCATCCTATATCGCTGTGTTTTTGACGCCACATGCATGGGCGGAAGGAGCGCGAGCGAATTGCCCTGTTTTTTTGATGCCACATGCATGCGCGGACGGCGTTCAGGAGTGAATTGCCCTGTTTTGTGATGCCGCATGCTTACGCAGATGGCACACGCACGTGCTTACATTTCCGGTGCTGATCGAACCGGTTGTTACAGTATGTGACGCCCACCTCTGCGTAGAGCTTAAACCTGAATCTTATCCAGAAACTTAGGGACAAATGCAGAGATTGATGGAAGAACAATTTCTTTTAAAGTAGGACATTTGCAGACTGACCTATATGAAGATTATGTAAGAACTCTTATTGAAGGACTTATGGTCCTTCCAGAGATAAGAGAGTCCAGACATTACTCTTAAAAAAAAAACCAGAGCACCCATCCCCAATTTAAATATCTCCCACATAAACAACATTTGAATAACACAGTAAAGGTTGGTGTGTGTTACAGGTGTGTGTTTATCCACATATTTATGTGTAACTGCAGATTTTTGACAAAAGAGAAAGAAGGAAAAGAATCTTACTAAGAAAAACAGATTTCAATAAACAGGTAAACTAATTCAGGTTAAACATTGCAAATATTTGTATCTCTAATGTATGAACCGTGTTTACCTCCTACAAAAAATAACCTTACAGCAATATTATAAAACAGTATTATAAGAACATATGATATTCTTCTAATATGCTAATCACATCTTATGACGTTTATATTTAATTTCCAGATTGTAGTTGGAAATACTGTATCTAAATCCTAGCTAAACAATACTCTTGGAAGGCAGAGGCATTAATTCAGGGGTCAGCAACCTGCGGCTCTGGAGCCACATGTGGCTCTTTCATCCCTCTGCTGTGGCTCCCTGTCACCAGTCAGCTCCACAATTGATAGGGCTTTCAGTTAGGATAGGTAGAGGAAAAAGGATGTCGCGCTAGGAGGACACACTATGGTGGGGGGAACCAGATTTCCGGTTGGCTCCAGAATTGAACGGGGGGATTCCGGTTAGGGCCTTTGTGGCTCTTTGAGTATTTAAGGTTGCCGACCCCTGCATTAATTCAACCAAAGATGTCGTGGGACATGGAGCGCGCTGCATTAAGAAGACAAACTGAAATTGTGAGATGGTTCAGAAGGCTTAGTGTGAGGTTGAGTCTTGGATTTAAAAGCACATTTTACATCTTCCATGAGGTTTCAGCTGTAGAATAATATAGATAACAAAATACAGTTGCAAGAAGTGAAGGATTTACAAGGATTAATATTCTGAAGCCCATATACCCAGTGTCTATATTTATACATGTTTAACCAGGTCAAGTAAACACTCAGTAATTATATTTGCACAACAAGCTAAACTTGATTGGTGTTAACTTTAGTTATGACTTTTAGAGGTTTAATATGTAACTCACTCAAGAAATTTGGTTAAGTTTCAGCACATTGTGCAAATGTTGAAAATGAGCTTATTCCATAAATACTGTGTGTTATAGGAATGCAATCTCTGAATCTTCGTGTGTAATTTCACTTCCTTTATCCTAACAATCTTTTCTCCATTCCAACTCTCCCAAGTATTACTGGTTTTTGTATCTTAAACCATCACAACTCTTACAACTTTATCAAGAAGCATAATACAAGAGGTTGAAGGGACAAGTAGCAATTGTTAAAGCTTCAATTTCTACCATGGAAGCCATCAACCAAGAACCAACTTGGTTTCACCTTCAAATAAGAGGCCTTTTGATAGGCGGAATCAATCACCAATCATGTCTCAGTTCCCTGTCAAGGAATGGTTTTCCTAGGTCATGGGGCTCTAAGTCACTCAGCTACCACTAACCTTCAGAACAAAAGTTGGAACCACAATTGTTCAGAGTATCATTGATGATGGGAATGCCATTTCCTGCAGATTTATTCAATCTCTATTGAAGGTTACTTGCAATTTTTAAGACCCACCAAAGATATATCAATTGTTAACTGAATTTCAAAGAAAAGAACAACTAAAAAGTGAGCTTGGACTGGAGTTATCTGGCTATTCAAGTGCAACTGTGCATGTCGGCATATGTACCTAAAAATACTAAATCAAAACTAAAGCCTTAAATCTCCTGTTAAGTACTGAGAGATGCCATATGAATGTAACTAGGAGCTTAGATGTACAGGAGTTTCAAACTGATTGTGGTTCAATCAGTTTTCTACTACCAGGATGGAATTTAAGGAGACATTCACTTCAGAATCTTATTTAATATGAATATTGTCAACTAGCTAAAGATGGAAGGCGATTTGCAATAGTTTTTGGAAGCAAGAAGTCCTAGCTCTCCATCTATCTAAGCCAGGGGTTTCAAACTCGATTTCATTGAGGGCCGCATCAGGGTTGTGTTTGACCTCGGGGGCAGGGGGGGCAGAATGGGCATGGGGTGTGGGGCCAGCATGAATTTACGCGGGGGGGGGGGGGGGGGGCACCTGTGGTGGCCTGAGTGCTCTGTCAGCAAAAACTGGCTCCCGAGCTCCATTTTTGGCCGGGATGGCCTCCTACAACCCTCTGCCAGCGAAAACTGAGCTCTGGAGGGCGGCATGCAGTCCTCATGAGCTCCGTTTTCGCTGGCAGACACACTGAGGAATGGTCCTTTGCTGTTTCCAGGACGGGCCAGATCTAAGCACCCCACGGGCCGAATCCGGCCCCCGGGCCTCGAGTTTGACACCCCTGATCTAAGCGGTTGGCTCGAAGTTCTCTTTATCAACTTTCACAACTAAGTTCTCCTTTTTTTCCCAATATGTAGCGTATCATTTGCATTTCATGGATCTCCTTGCGTAGGTTAAGGTTAGGACACAACGTATATCTATATCACTTACTTCGTTTCACCAGCACGTATACCAAATCACACATTACCTATCCATTACTTCTCCATGACCTCTGACAGAAGCCATTCAGAATGCCAACAGAAGGAAGAGGAGAGAGATGTCAGACGAATTCAGGGACAGTAGATAAGAATGCCTGAACCATAATCTAATTTGATATGCATTTTATAGAAGAAATGGATGAACTGTCTGTGGGGCCCGTATGCTTACAAACACATTCCATGTAATCCTCAACTTATAACCACAACTGAGATCAGAATTTCTGTTGTTAAGCAGTGAGTCACACCCAACTTTCTTTTTTTTTTTTAACCACACTTGTTAGATAAATTTTAAGCAAAAGTTGCTTGTTTTGTAATAAAATCGATATAATATAGCCGTGATGGCGAACCTATGGTACGCGTGCCACAGGTGGCACGCAGAGCCGTATCAGTGGGCATGCGAGCTCAGCCCCACCAGCTGATTTTCAGGCCTTCCGGGCCCACCGGAAGTTGGCAAACGGGCTGTTTTCGCCCTCTGGAGGGCCTCCGTGGGGTGGGGAAGGCAGTTTTTGCCCTCCCCAGGCTCCTAGAAAGGCTCTGGAGCCTGGGAAGAGTGAAAAATGGGCCTATTGGGCCCACCGGGCCATCACGTGCCAAAAGCGGGGGGAGCACGGGGAGGTTGCACGCACATGCATGGGGGGTGGGGCGCATTGAATTATGGGTGTGGGCATGCGCGCGCATGACCACCCCGTGCTCCCCACCACTTTTGGCACGCAATAGCAAAAAGGTTAGCCATCACTGTAATATAGCATGTTTTGCTCCTCTCAGGTTTATGAGATTATTCCCTGAATTAATATTTAAGTTTCAAGATTGGAGAAGCATTAAAGCTGCCCAGAAGTAGCAGGAGGAAAAATCCCAAACTGATTCAGTAAGAGCTTTCTGTGGTCTATAAAAATAACCGATTATGGAATGGGAAAAGAATTCCTTAAATATTTCATCCATAAAAAAAAACCCACTCCATCTAGCTGCCTTGATAGAAGCATTTTAAAATTCACAACGTTAACATATTTGGTCTAATGGTGAAGACACTGGCCTAGAAACCAGGAGACTATGAGTTCTAATCCTACCTTAAGCATGAAAGCCAGCTGAGTGACTCTGGGCCAATCACCGGGAGATTTTGAGTTCTAGTCCCACCTTATTTTTAGAGAACGAAGCTTCTTCACTTTTGGTGAAATAGGTGCAAGAATTTTGAAGATACTCTCCTATCAATCCTGAATAAATGTTTGGTCTAGTGGTTACGGTGCCAGGCTAGGAAGCAAAAGACCGTGAGTTCAAGTCCTGCCTTAGCCACGAAAGCCAGACCTTAGGCTAGTCACTGTATCTCAGCCCAATTCACTTGTTATTGTGGGTTGTTATTGTGAGGAAAATAGGAGGAGGAAGGAATTATTAGGTATATTCTCCGCACTAAGTTATTTATCAAAATAATAAAGATGTGATACCAATATATAACAATGTAT